TGGGGGGGGGGGGGGGGGGGGCAATAGGGCGGACGAGGAGGCGCAGGCCAGAGAAGGGACCCTTTTTGCTTTATTATTTATTTTTTTATTTTGGTTTGCTGTGCTGCTGTCGTCCTGGCCTTGGATTGTCTGGGTATTGTACTCCTAAGTCCTTGGGGGGATTGCTTACTGGCAGAGCATTGACATGGACGCTTACCCTTCCCTTCCCTTCCCTTCCCTTTCCCCTTCTCCCCTTCCCTTTCCTCTGCTTCCTATGGGCCTACTCTATGTGCCTAGTCTGTCTCTGTACATGGCCACATACTACATTGAGTTACTCTGGCTACTAAGAGTAGAGTAGACGACAACTACCTACCGTTCTCGGAGTTACTGTCTACGTCCGCCGAACGTCCGTTCTTCCCTTCTTGTACTATTTTGCCTTTTCTCCTTGTCACCAAAAAAAACCCTCTTTTCGTCATCCTGTCTCCGTCCGCCAATGGGCCACTCCGTTTGCAGGGCGGAGACTGCGCCGTTTTGCTGTGCGACCCACGGCCTGCCTTGGGAAACCGACACATGCCCAGAGTACGTGTACAGCCCTTCGCCGGCTTACTGAGGAGCAGCCATGGTCAGCCCATCCTTTGTCAGACCAGGCAGTACCGCCAATGACGGCAGCTGGCTGGCGGGCAGGCTGACTGTTCAGACCGCAGTTCTGCCACCGCAGGACCGTGTGGTCAACCACTTTGAAGCCATGCAAGTAGTGTGTACCATGTACTACTTGTGGCCTGGGAGGGTACGCAGGTCCGGTACAGTCTGTCGTCAACAACATGTCTCCCGCCTGGTTTCGTGGCATAATCCGCCGTGACCGTTCCGCCACGACCCTTCTCCGGGGCGGTTCGGGGGTGGCCGTGTATGGACAAGTACAAGATACCTACAGTACATGGCACAGTAGTTTACATCATGGCCGGAATCCCCGGCCATCACATCTCCTTGCTTGCGAAAGTCGATGCAAGCTCACCATCTGCATCTGACAGTCTTAGAGGGAACACTGGGACTGTCTAGTACTTACGTACTTGTACCTGGCATGCTCGCATCATCAATCTGGCGGCCATCCTGCATCGGCAACAAAGTCCCGTGCATGAGGCTGAAGACGAATGCGAAACCTTGTGCAAACCGCCTCCCTTCGCCTCTTTCCACCGGCGTTGGTCGGATCCGGGCGCATGATGAGCCAACACCCACGTACCCTACTAACATGCACGCCTACCGGTACATGTACCATCTTTTTTCTCTCCAACTTATCATCGTATCCGGATGTCCGCGGGCCAGCGCGTTCCGCTCCGCTGTCTCCGCTGAGCTATTGCACTGTGTACCGGTACTGTGTGTGTGTGTGTGTACATGGGCAGTAGACGACAGTGCGCCCCAAAGATGTCATCCGTCAAGAGGGCATTCTCTAGGGAAGTGTACGATAATGCGCTGGGAAGGGTTTCAAGGTTCGGTTTGGGCCATGTCATCACGTGATGGCGCGTCAACTGCCTCCAATGGGTGGGGGATGCTGGATCTGCACTGATCTGGCCAACTTCGACGCGCTAAGCCTTTGTGCCCAAGTACCACCCCATTGAAATCCCTCTTCTATCCTCATGTTTCAAAAGGGGCCATGCCGTAATCATGAAGCCACAGAAGAGGACGATCAAGGATTTCTTCTCCGGGCTGCCACGTGCCCCGCCGCTCCCAAAGACGAGTACGCTGCGACCTGGTCACTCACCACCTTGCTGATAGCCCTACTAACGCATGTAATAGCAACAACAGAAGATGCAGACACGACATGGACATCTGACGTGACGAGTACGGACCCCAAATTTACACAGCCCCATAGACATCAGTCTTTAGCCAATCAGTCCTCTTCGTTTGCCTCCACCTCTTCTACTCTCTCCTCCGCACCCACTACGACGAGAGCACCCAGTGTGGAGGAGCAGCTACCCATTCCATCGCAAACCTCTGGAAACTCTGGCGCAACCAGACGTGTAGTCTCAAATGGCGAGCACATCGTACTGAACTCTGATTCGGACGACAACGACTCGCTGCAGAGCCTTGATTTCGGTGACGTGCAACCAAAGTCGACGTTTGTATCAAAGAATGTAGTGGACCGTTCTCGAGCCTCTCCAGAAAAGAGTGCTGAAGAGCTGCACCGGCCAGTCAAGAAAGGCAGGACCGGGAAGAAGACTTACACGGTGGTCGTAGAAACTGCCCAGAAGAATGCCGAGATAGAGAGACGCATCCAGGAGCACAAGCAAGAGCTAGACCGGTCCTCTGAAGAGCCAACCTTTGAAAATGAGGCCATCAGCGAGGAAAGGCTGGGCCAAGTGGTCCAAGACGACGACGATCCTGAAAAAGCCCGTCGCCTCTATTTGGCCATGCAACGAACCAACACCGCACAGTCCGAAAGCGTTTACTACTTCTTCAAGTCAAGGTCCGAGTCGATTGTCGTTCAGCGCAGGTTTCCTAGCGGGGCTTTGCCGAGGATGCAATGGGCCTCCAGTTTCCGGGGTAGGAGCTCTCGTATGACATTGGGTTCATCCACTGACAGCTCCTAGATGGGACCTCGCGAGATCAGGCCTTCTTGACTGGCTTCGCATATCAGATATTTCGCATGCAAGAGCTGCCTGAAGAGCTCGCCTTGTGGATGCTTGATCAATGTGAGCGAGTTAGAGGTTTGAGTGACTGCTTTTTATTTAACGCTTTGCAGTCTGCTATGACCACAGCGAGATATTACTTACAAAGTATCTGGAGATACTCGAGGTAAATACACAATTACGCTCATGTTGCGGCAAACTGAACATAATTAGTCCCATCATGCACACCTTTCAAGATTACTAGACTGCAGCAGAATTGACGCCATGTTCAATATGATAGGCGCTAGTATCAAAGACCAGAGTACAACTGCGGGTCTGCCTCTGATGTCTCGGCTTCACGGCGAGGAAGAACCGGCTCTTCCCCCATCTCTCAAGTCGATTGTGACATTGATACAGAGGGCTGCACCGTGGTATGCATATAAGGTATATGTTTCAAGCCCTTTCTGACATGTCCTAGGCTACGAACAAAGGCTCGAAGTCATGTGCTGCATATCTTGTTCTTCGTGTGTCTAGACAAGGGAGTTTTGTCAGATTCCCAAGTTCTAGACATGACACGCAGTGCTATCGAGGCCATCACCTGTAACTTCACGGACAACAAGAAACTCGTATCCGGCGTAGGACTCTCTTTGCCAATGGAAGAACCCACTCTAATGCGATTACAGCTCAGCAATGTCATTCCACAAATACTCTCGAAGATTACAGACCCTATTCTCCAACGTAATCTCGTGTGTGCTCTTCCTGCTTGGTCTCCGCTGACCGCCTATCTCCAACGATACCTCGCCCTCTCCTTTCTGTTGTTCCCACAGGTAGTCGATGTGCCCCTTGCCAATCCAAAGATACCCCAGATGATACACAAGCATCTCGATACTGCATCGTCATTTCGCATCGACAAGCGTACGAATTACGCCCATCTCGCCGCTCGAACGACTCTCCTGGACGTGGCCATTGGACCAGGGCCTTTGTCTGTACCCTATCAGCCGCTTGTGAGTCCTGCACCATCACAAGCAGGATCATCTCCTGTCATGGTCCCTTTCCCCGACACCTCGGACATCAAAGCCTTCAACCAAGAAGTCGATGCTCTGGCCCAGCACATCAAAATGCTCGGCAACTCGATTGTGGAAGCCGGGGCCGTGGTTGACCTATCCATTCTCGAAGCAAAAGACGCCACGGAAAGACTGTGGGCGCGTTTGGAGCACGCAGTCCGGCTTGGGGGGAAGAAGACGCATAATGTGTTTGGCGCAGAGGACGACGAGGAGAGACAGTTGAAACTCAACAGATTCTTCTTGAAGCCGAAGAAGACGGCGTCGACACCAACGGCGCGTGGTATTTTTGATGACGATGATGCTGGCGAGTCTCTTGCATAACGGCAGCGTCATGGTTGTAATAATCATATAGAATATATATATACATGCACTCAGTCCCATGCAGACCACCATACAAACACCATCCTCTCCACCCCCAACACACCCATAGAATTCCAACACCCTCCCCCCCCCAAGCCCATCCAGCAAACCCCGAAGTCCAACCGCCGCCCACCCCTCTCCACGCCCCGTCCCGCATCCACACCACACGGCACGGCACGGCACCCCATCGCATCGCAATCTCGCTTACCGCATCATCTACAAACCCTACACATCCCCTCCCCACCCAACCCCGCGCCACCGCAATCTATTGCAAACCCCGGACTGCGGTCGCATACATGTACAAGTGTGATTGCGTAGGTGCGCCTGTTAGTGTTACCGTATACGTGCTGTGTGCTAAGGAGTTGGTGTTGGTGTTGATGTTGATGGTGGATGCTGATGTAGATGTGCATGTGCATGTGGCTACTCTATATATATCTATGTGACTGCTGCAGGGCAAGGCGAGGCGAGACGAAAAATAAAAAAAATAAAAAAAATTGGCCGAGCGATGGGGCGTGCGTGCGGTGGGAAGGTTTTGGAGTGTGTTGAGTGTGTTGGATGTGCGTGGGGGGAGGGAGCGGGAGAGGGGTGTCGGGGTACTTGCCTGGTTTGACGGTGCGTGCATGTGTGTGTGTGTGTGTGTGTGAGAGAAAGAGAGATAGATACTGGTACCCCTACTTCTTAGATTTGAGCACATGTACCTAGAGAAGCAGACTACCACATACCGTGCACAAGAATTCATCACCAGTAGCCATAATGGTACAACAATACGGTGGATGTGGGCACCATCAACGACCAAGTACCAAGACGAAGAAGAGAAGAATAGATGCGGATACGGACTTTAATATTCCTATTTCTACGCCCTCTCTTCTTCCTCTCCTGCCTCGTCCCCCACCACAAAAACAACAATCACATGCTCTCCAAATGAACTTCTTGTGAAAAATGCATGAATTGTCGTGTACATGTGTACGTATATGTAAGACTACATGGGTAAAACGCTAAAGTGCACTAATAAGATATTACTCTTTGAAGAAGAAGAGAAAAGGAGAGGATACGCTTGCTCTACTCCAGGGCAGCCAGTGCCTCTTGCCATGTCATTACTAGGTACCATCACTTCACATCACAATTGCCATCTCCATGCCAAGACCGAAACCTCACCCCCAATGGAAAGAAAGCAGGGTCCGAGATTGTGATTTGATACTTGCATGTGCAAGTATGTTTCATCCCCGTCATCCTCTCCCGCAACGCTAATCCTTCTTCCTCCTCTTCTTTCATTTTTTTATCATCTTCCCAACACCTAAATCCCACCCAGACCGTTCTTCTGATCAATATGTCTGTACCGTTCCTGCTCCAATCTGTACTTGAGCACCATGGCCACGCAGAGCACCAAGATGAAGTCGACGCCGACAATGCCAAAGGCAGCCGTGAAGATTTGGTCGAGGTAGCTGTTGGCAAAGGACGAGAACTTGGCGATGCAGCCCCCTTTTTGCGCGGCGACTAGGGTGTTGAGGCATGTGCTGTCCTGGACAAATGGAGGCGTGGTCGAGTTGACATAGCCGCAACAGTCGAACTGTAGGCATCTCTTGTCAGTACCATGGACGGCGAGGCATCCTTCCACGTCGAGAAGAATGGACAAACCTTTTGTTGTAGCAGGCTCTGAATCAGGGGCGTCTCGCGACCCCAAAGCAGGCTCAGATTTCGACGGATTTGCAGCGTTTCCACCCAAACGGTCAGTCCAAGTCCAAGCGTAAAGGTGGCGCAGAAGACGACCAGCCAGCCTTGGGCGCGGAGCCAGCCTCTGTTAGTGGGTAGGAAGAGGGCGGGGAGGGACAGCAAAAAGGTGACGAAGACGAAGATTGCGTTGACGACGCCAGCTAACCACCTGTCAGTTTGCATCTATTGAAGTTTCCCAAGTGGTCTAGAGTCGAGTAGGACGGGGCTTGCGCCACAGTGGTGCCATGCTATTGAAGAATCCCAACTCTTTCTTCCCTCGACCCGTTTGGAAAACGTCGTACCTGTCAACGGACACTGGCCCAGCAGTATATGTTGTGTGACATTGTCGAGCGTCGGCGAGTCCCGCATCGTCTGCTCAGATATCAGAGAGAAGGCCAGTAACAATCCTCCACATCCGGCGAAGATGAGGTCCATGACGACAAAGACCATCATCAGTTTGGTGGGCATATTGGCGGTATTGCTGTGTTATAGAAGCAAGTGCACGCAAGAGACTTGACTGGACTGGACTGGATTGGACTGAAAGAAGAAGAAAACGGAGTAGATGGGAAGCGAAGAAGTGAAGTCGAACGCAGGAGCCGTCCGGCGGGCTCGAAAGACTGCGTCGAGTAACGCGTAAAGGCAAACGATTAGGAGAGAAGAGAAGAAGGAAAGGGAAGAAGGGAAAGCAAAGGAAAGGCGGGCAAGAGCTACGGTTGCAAGAATTCGCACAGCATTGGGGGGTTGGGGGAGGGTTGAGCATTAAGAGGCTCTGCGGTGGGCGCGTCGCAAGTGGAGTAGAGCGATGCGTGAGGGGTTTCAGTAGTGTTGGGAGGCATTCCTGATGAGCCAATCAGAGAGGCGCACAAAGCAGAGTGGTTCGATGGGGGGTTTTTTTTTGGCGCTGTCACTTTGGTCGGCAGCGGGCACAACGAGGACGAGAGCGAGTGCAACGTGTTTCTAGAGCCAGACGGGAGATCAGACGAGAGAAGAGATGGACCAGTTTTTGTGACGATACTTGGCAACCACCATGCAAGTCAGAGTAGGGAGTAGTAGTAGTAGTAGCAGTAGCAGTAGTAGTAGCAGTGGAGTCAGAAAGTAGGGTCGTGGTGTTTGAGCTGGGAGCAGCAGATTGCCGGCTGCAGGCGCCACCAACAAAGCTCGCCTGGACCCCAAAAAGGCTGGGCCCGAGCACGCGATACCGGACGAGGCAGGAGCGAAAAGGGCCGGTGGCTGCCTTGTACGGGAGATGCTTGGCGCGTAGGGCGCTATGTGCCTAGCCAAGGGCTGGCTACTCTACAAGCCTCCCTTGATTGTATCGTTTGTTGTATGGCAGGCAGAGGCAGTCCTGGAAGTACCATGTGATTTGTGCTATTTGGTTGGCCATTAGGTAGAGTAGGTACTATTAAGTAGGTTGGTAGGCTACATTGTAGTCTAGTGTGGAATGAAGGATTGCACAATTGAATGAATGCATCATTCATCATCATCATCATCATCATCATCGTGGCCATGATCATGGATGCAATACACAAAGAGTCTACCATCACATAGCCGGTACAAGTACAAGGACAGCAGTACAAGCACAAGCATGTACCGTGGGTCGGACACGGGCTTGTCTTGTCCATGTACTTTTCCCAAGTATGCTGGCCCTCCCTCGTCGTCAGTCTCCCAGCGCCCGCCGTTTCGCCTGGTTCTCGCCTGGTTCTCGCGTCGAGCAAAGTGAGTCAAACGGGAACGAGTGGTCGAGTGGTGAGTGGGTGAGGAAGACGCGAGTCGTGAACCTGGACCGCACGAGCGCCGTCTCATCTCAGCTGCTTGGTTAGCGGCATGGGCCTGCCAATACTCTCCCTCTTCTCCCACCAATCAACGCCCGCCAGACCGCACCCCCGGCCCACTTGGTCTGCTGAGCGTCCTTTCCCTGCCAAAACCGAGAGCGGCTGGCGGCCCCCGCTGTTCGAGAGTCGCTTCTTCTAGCTGCTCAAAGCAGACTGACAGCTTCCATGTGTCTGTTGGGACGAGGGCGAGATACGGCAACAAGGACGGCTAGCCTCTGTGCAAACGAGGTCATGGGTAGTGGTAGAGGACATGGAGACGAGTGAGTGAGTGAGTTGAACATGGGCATGGATAGGTACGGTAGGTACAATCCAATAGGCTCTCACTTCTAGAGTACTGTACACATGTATTCCTCGGACGGCGGCTGGCCGTGTGGCCCTCGTCCAAGTCGTCGTCGATCTGCGATTCGGTGCCAAAAGAGAGACCAGGGGTGGGCTCCCTCCAGCATGCTTGTAGCGTCCGCCCCCAGTCAGGCCAGTGGAGGCCAGTGAATGCCAGTGAATGGACGGCCTGCGCTGTTCGCCTGCAAAGTACAATTGACCAGTGTGCCGCCGTTTCAACCGTGATCTTTTCCCAACTTTGCCTACTTCTTTCCCTCTCGAGCCACTTTGTCCAAACACCTGCACAACCGTGTCGAGCCCTGCGTTTGTCCCGTTTGTCCCTTCCACCCTTCCCCCCCCCCCTCGTTTGCCAAAACCTGCCATAACCGCGGCCAAACTCAAGGCGGCCCTCCCATCCTGTTCCTAGGAACCTAAGTACCTCGCTAGCTGGCCGAGTCATCGCAACAGGCTTGGTAGTGGGTTCCCGCCGCCAGCGCCGTGTCACATGGGCGACTGCCCGCTTGGCCTTCCTTGCATTCCTGCCTGCCCACCACAAAGACACAGCCCGATCTCTTAACAGCCGGCCATTCCCCATTCAGTCTTCCTTTGGGTCTAACCCGACTCTACACACAGCTGCAAGTCGTTCTGTAACCTTTTCGTTCTCGCCCAACGAACAAGAGCCTTCGGCACTTTCTCCCCACACAACGCCCGCATACAGTTTAGGCTGCTGAACCGCCAAACCCTCGCGCCCCCATCTGCACCTGCGCCCTCCACCATGGCCTCTGAAATCACCGAGCACGACCAGAACGCGTCGCCCTCCGTCCACGACGACGGCAATGGCACCCTCGGCGTCGACTCCAACCGCGGCACCAAGCGCCCACGCCCGGCTGCCGACGACGATGACGACGACGACGACAAGCCCGGCCGCGAGCGTCGCAAGATTGAAATCAAGTTCATCCAGGACAAGTCGCGTCGTCACATTACCTTTTCCAAGCGCAAGGCTGGCATCATGAAAAAGGTACGTGGCAGACCTGACGGGCCATGGCAGAAGGCAGCCTTTGGGCACTGCCTGCACTGCAACAAAGAACCCCTTCTTCTTGCAACACGCACAATCGCGACATTCACGCGTCGTAATCATGCGATGCAGCAGCATCATCATCCTCATCCTCATCCTCATCCTCATCCTCATCCTCATCATCAGAACAAGGAGAAGCCTATGCTAACCACATCCTCCCTGCGCAGGCCTACGAACTATCCGTCCTGACTGGCACGCAAGTGCTGCTGCTCGTCGTGTCCGAGACGGGTCTTGTCTACACCTTCACCACGCCCAAGCTGCAGCCCCTCGTAACGAAGCCTGAAGGTAAAAACTTGATTCAGGTACGCTCTGCAACACGATGCACCCACCCCTCCCTCGCGCATGACACCACTAACACGACGCAGGCCTGCTTGAATGCTCCAGAGCCCTCGAGCGGAGATGCCAATGGCGGCGACGTCGACAACCAGGTAGAGTCGCCAGAGGACAACCAACATGCCCAGATCCCCGCGCAGCAGCGTGGCATGGCACCCAACCAGAACCCCATGCCCCCGGCCTACATGACGCCCGAGGCTGCTCTGCACTACCAGAGCTATCTCCAGCAACAGCAGCAATCAAACCAGTACCCAATGGCGCAGCAAGGCATGCCCCGTCATCCTGGCGGCCACTACCCCCAAGACCAGAAGCTGCAATAAACGCAATAGCCGTGGATGCTAGTATACGCCAGTGGAGGGTCGCCCATTGGCGTCCTGTGACTGGACCACGATACCCTCGTAATGGAAAGTAATCAGACAGTGTCGTTCAGTGAACGACACTTTGACGCTTGGCGAAACCAAGGGCGCATGTAGGCTACAGTGGGGCAAAGGTGTTGCACGCCAACTCATGGGAACAGTGTTTCAGTGGGGAGAGGGGGGTGGGCGGAGGAGCAAAAGGCTGCATTTCTGTCTACGATTGTACGTCTTACGTGGTGGATACCGGCGCGGTGTGGGGTTTCCTTGTTTTCATCTCTTGCTCTCACTATGGACATTTACAACAGGTCGTGTGCCGATTTGCGAGATAGTTGTGGGGAGGCTTCCTTGGAGTCGACTGCATGGTGGGGTACAATACAGAGCAATAATTCACGTCTTGCCAAATCAAATCGTCATTGTGCCGCTATTGTACCGGCTATGTGAGTTTTTAGCAGGCCTGGGCGTTACTGCCTCATTCTGACCAGGAGACTTGCCCTTCTTGGAGAAAGTCGCCACTCTGACGGGACCAAGTTCCAAGGTTGGACCCACAGAACACAGACCTTGCGCAACCAAGAGGCAAACGCACCTCTGTTCCAAACGAGACGTCTTGCATGTCCGGCCGAGGACGAGGAGAAAGCGAGGGAGGTTGGATACCAAGGGTACTACTAGAGTAGAGGACGGCGCCCATACACCCAACGCCGACAGAGTGCATGGATTCCTGCCGAGGGCTGGACTGTACACAGGACAGGAAAGTGTATGACACAATCACTTTTCAAGGCTTTGCACCAAGTAGGTAGGTACACCTGCACCTTCCAAACGGTAGTGCGAGTCCAGTGTGGAACAAAACGCAGACTGAAACTCGATCTCTCGAGTCTGGAGTATCTACTACGATGGTACCATGTCGTGTTGTGTTCCGTCCATGTCCATGCTCCATAGTTGCCTCAGCGCGCAGAAAACGCGTCCATGTGACAATTGCGGCGGCCACTCACACGTCAGTTTGGCTTTGAGGAGGCAGAATCTGCAACGGGTGTTACATGCAGCAAAGCAGTCTACTGCTACACAAGCCGGGCAAGGCAACGGCTGGACCACAAGGCAGATGGTCCGAAAGATGGCGAAGCCGGCTGGCTTCTTTCTTGCTTGTACTCGAGTACGGGAGCGGGCGCCACTGCGATTGACACGGGCGCAAGCAAGAAAGTCTCGCAGCTCCAGGGCGGACGTTGGAGGCTGTGATTCATGAGACATGGGGTGGATTCCTGTAGGCTATTAGCATTCATTCTGATGGGTTCTGATGTCAGCTTCAGGAGAGAAAAGAAAACCGGATTAGTACGTGGACAGGGAATCCTACCCCTCAACCGGGTTACAGACTACTCTACTCTACAGGACGACAGGCCGACTCCCTTGCATGCACAAGGCAGGCACAAGCTCAGATTTGCAAAGCATGTACAAGATATACTATTAGGACTAGGAATAGGGACGATAGCTTTGGTTCTTGGGCACACGACTGACAGACATCGAAATTGGCATTTCACACTAGCCTTTCCGACCCTAGGTAGTAGCCACCTAACTTAACTTACCGAACCTCGCCATGAACTGCTCCACGGGCCGCTCCGTCTTGCCTGCCAACGGACGCTTGAACGTGCCCAAGCTATTGCCAGTTGACGCTACTTGATACAATACCATTTTGGTCACCATTTGCATGCCCGTTCCCTAAAAATGCTTCACCCTCTGTAAGCCCTCCTTCAATAAGTTAGGGACACTGTTTTGCTCCAGACCTCCACAGCTGCTCTGACTGGCTCCTGAGCTAGACCCGTCTAGTGAGGTAGGTAGGTACTTGGGTAGCAGCCAGCCGCTTGCACACGCATGACCGGACGGGACATGTTTGCTAGGTACCGGTACCGTAGCCTGCAGGATCACGGTGTGCCCACATTCACAAAGGCTACTTATTAGCAAATGAGGATGATAGATACCCTACAGCCCCAGCCAAGATTTTTTATTTATTTTTGCTTGTAGCATCCCGTGCACCTGTTGCGGATGCGGGCTTTGTCCTCCGAAAGAGGGACACTTTTCTCCTTTGGACTGTTCCCCGCATAACATCCTGGAAGTCTGAATCATGTGTAACCATGATCCCTTCACCGACACGGCGGTCGTGCTTGCAACTTCATCTCCTTTCCATCCTCAGCACTAGAAATCTCAAGCATGGGCGCCTCTCTTTCATGATCATTCCTTCTCTTGTCAGATACACACAGCCCACTCTTCATGGCTTGCTTAGGCTTACTGTCGTACGGCAGTCGCAACGGCATAATCAGGCTTAGCGCAGGCGTGTTCCGCTTCCTCATTCTTGCTCACATGAACGACCAAGCGAATGAATCAGAATCCTGGGCCTGCAATGCTCTCATTTACCTCTCTCTCCATGCATCTCAACACTGAGCGACGGGCTTGCGTGGGAAGCAGTATTGCCGAGCAACCAATCGCGAATTCCCAATATTCCATGGTTCTTTACGCCCTGTCCAACTCTCCAGCCTGTCCGTGCTGCCCTTATCTGCATCCATACCCCCATTCCCCACGTTTGCTTCCGGGATAGCTCCGTTGGCTTCTCTGTTGTATGTACCTATACCTATATGTACACATAAGCTCGTACGATCTGCGACTGCCTGCTTGATCGCGACGCTAGCCTGCCTGCCAAGCGGTACTGGCTCAGCAAGAGGAGCCATTTTCGTTTCGCTTTCACCAAACTTCTTCTCAACTTCCAATCCAATCCCAAAAGTCCAACGTACAACGGACACAATGGGAGAAGTCGACCGGAAGCAGTTGACCCCCACGGTCTCACAAGATGTCGAGAAATCGCGCACCCCCTCGATCGACCCCGACGCCCTGAAGCTCGCAGAGATGGGCTACACCCAGGACCTGAACAGAAACTTCAGCGTATGGTCTGTCTTGGGTGTCGGCTTCTCGCTGACGAATTCCTGGTTCGGTATCTCGGCGGCCTTGATCACGGGTATCAACTCTGGTGGACCCATCTTGATCATCTACGGCATCATCCTCATCGCTTTGATCTCGACCTGTGTTGGTGTCAGCCTCAGTGAGCTCGCGAGCGCGATGCCCAATGCTGGTGGCCAGTACTTTTGGGCGAACGAACTGGCACCCAAGAAGTTTACCAAGCTCGCCAGCTACCTGACCGGCTGGCTGGCTTGGTGGGGCTCCATGTTCACGAGTGCGTCTGTGGCACTGGCCATGGGTAGTGCCATGGTGGGCTGCTATCAACTGAACAATCCTGACTTGTAAGGTTCACTTGCATCATCTTCCACAGGCATAGTTGTTGTAAGCCAAGTAGTTGGGTCACGGCTGATGATTGAGCAGTGTCATTAAGCCTTGGCATGTCTTTCTTACCTATCAGCTCTCCAACATCTTTTGCTTCTTCTTCAATTGCTACGGCAAAACGCTACCCACCGTTGCAAAGATTACCCTCTGGACCTCACTCATTTCATTCGCCGTAATCCTCATCACCGTCCCTGCCGTTGCGCCTACCCACCAACATGCCAGCTTTGTCTTCGCAACCTTCATCAACAATACGGGCTGGCAGCAAGGTGGAATTGCCTTCATCGTCGGCCTCGTCAATACCAACTGGAGTTTTGCCTGTCTGGACTGCGCCACCCATCTCGCGGAAGAAGTACACCAGCCCGAGAAGATGATCCCCATCGCCATCATGGGTACCGTCGGCATCGGCTTCATCACCAGCTGGTTCTTCTCCATGGCCATGTTCTTCTCCATTGTCGGCGACTTTGCAGACGTCGCTGCCTCGAGCACAGGCGTTCCCATCCTCGAACTCTTCTACCAGGCCCTCAGCCACAAAGCCGGAGCCATTGTCCTCGAGTCCCTCATCATCGCAACCGGTCTGGGCTGCTTGGTCGCTAGCCACACCTGGCAGAGCCGTCTCTGCTGGAGCTTCGCCCGCGATCGCGGTCTCCCCGCTCACAAGTGGCTGTCCAAGGTAGACAAGAGGATTGACATTCCACTCAACGCGCACATTGTCAGTTGCGTCATCGTCGCCATCATGGGCTGCTTATATCTAGCTTCCTTGACGGCCTTCAACTCGTACGTTCGCATCTGCTTTCAAGATCTTCAGTACATCTCGGCAGCTAACACTTGCCTTAGCATGATCACCGCATGCATCGTCCTCCTCTACTCCAGCTACTCCATCCCCGTCATCTGCCTCCTCATCCGCGGCCGCAACAACATCTCCCACGGCCCCTTCTGGCTCGGTCGCTTCGGCCTGTTCGCCAACATCGTACTCCTCCTATGGACCCTCTTCACCCTCGTCATGTATTCCTTTCCCTACGCCAAACCCGTAGCCGCCAGCAACATGAACTGTAAGTCATTGTGGTCTTTTCCTCTTCCCCAAGATATGTCGAAAGAAAAGGGCAATGCTAACCCCACTGATATCGCCAGACGTTTGCGTCGTCTACGCTATTGTCGCCTTCATTACGGGCATGGACTGGATTTTTCGCGGACGCAAGAGTTATAGAGGAGCTGGGGAGCGCAAGGCTGAGGTTCAGCCCATGCTTGTGCATAGTGGCGCTGGATCGTGATCCTAATAACGGACTGAGACGTAGCGGGCGTACCTGACTGACTGGGAAAGTAGATTGAGTGGAGAAAGGGGGACAATTCACACCCTTGGGTCAACAGACTTGCGCGGTTTTCGCACGAGTTTTGCTTGGTCGATTGGATTCGCATTCACATTCGCATTCGCAGTCATCGCCATCGCCATCGCCATCGCCATCATCATCGTCATCGCCACGTGGAAGATTATATCCATATTTTTCGAGATACCATGAGCTTTTCTTATCACCGTTATACTGATGTGTTTAATTTACTCCTCATACCCCATGCAACATATCTCCATCCATCTACAGCGTGAGCGTGAGTGTGGCTAGCAGGATAACGAGAATGACAACGTCGAGCGACCGATCTCGTTCACGGCCGATGGTATCAGCTCCCTGGTTGATTATCGTACGGCAAGGGACAAGTTGGTTTGTTGTATACTTAAACCTCTCGGTGGTTTACTGCCAGCCTTGAGACATCATGGGCATGTGCAGTCGTGCGTGAGGTTCAGCTGTGAGAGCGTTGGTGACCATGAAGATAAACCGATGACGGGCCAATGCTACGACACCTGCTCATTCTCAAAAAAAGAAGATGGTCTGATTATTGCTGCGCGTACTTTGCCGGGGGCAGCAGTGGTTGTGTTAATGAACGAGCACCGGCAGTGCACCCACCAGTCATGTCAAGCCTCGGATGAGTAGCCGCGATCAAAGTTCAGTCTCACAAACTCCGTCAATTGCCGCGAGACGCCGTCGACAGCCTGCTGCACCCGCAGCTTCACGACAAATTATCTTGCATAGCGCCATTGCAAAGACCAATGGCTCCGGAAAAGCCAACAATAACTATTTTGGTTCGGGGGTTGTGGTGGTAATTGTTTGCAACTTGCGCTGATCGGGGTGCATGGGAGGTGTCCCCGCAATTGAGCTCCAGGCTTGGCATCGTCACAAGCAAACGCGAGTTCCTCTCCGCCGAAGCGCCAGTGGTCTACCATTCACAGCCAGCCGGCCTAGCCTACCACCGTCGGATTTACAAAGAATATCCTCGGTCCAGAACATACATATCATGCGTGACGTCTGCATCATAAAGGTTATCTACCGGCCGCCCAGCCATCCTCTCCGCACATATACATCATCATTGCAGCACTCTCTCCTTGAACCGTGAAGCATACATATATACCACCACATAATCGAGCAAGATCAATCACACATATACACACAAACACACACGCTTCACAATGGCAGCCAATGCAGACAGCATCCTCCGTGAGGTCAACATCCTCGGCGAGCTCAACGACCAGAACAGACACATTCTCAGCAAAGATGCTGCCCTCTTCCTTGCCCTTCTCCACCGCACATTCAACGAGCGCCGGAAAGCGCTCCTCCAGCGAAGAGTAATTCGCCAGGCCGAGCTCGACAAGGGCAACCTCCTCGACTTTCTCCCAGAGACCAAGCACATCCGCGAGAACGATACGTGGAAAGGCGCGCCACCAGCCCCTGGTCTCGTTGACCGGCGGGTTGAGATCACTGGCCCTACAGACCGCAAGATGGTCGTCAATGCATTGAATTCGAATGTCTGGACCTATATGGCTGATTTTGAGGGTATCTCTCTCTCTCTCTACTCGTGAAAAAGCGGATCACAGCTGACAGCCGGTAGACTCAAGCGCACCAACGTGGGACAACATGATCAACGGACAACTCAACCTCTACGACGCCATCCGCAGGCAAGTCGACTTCAAGCAAGGCGACAAGGAGTACAAGCTCCGCACCGACCGAAAGCTGCCCACACTGATTGCGCGTGCGCGAGGTTGGCATCTCGAGGAGAAGCACTTCACTGTTGATGGAGAGCCCATCTCTGGTGGACTGTTCGACTTTGGGCTCTACTTCTTCAACAACGCACATGAGCTTGTCAAGCGTGGCGCAGGACCCTACTTCTACCTGCCCAAGATGGAGTCGCATCTCGAGGCAAGGCTGTGGAACGATGTCTTCAATCTGGCTCAGGACTACATTGGCATGAAGCGTGGTACTATTCGTGGTACTGTACTGATTGAGACCATTACTGCTGCTTTTGAGATGGATGAGGTAGGAACAGCTGTCCACAAAGGAGTGATGCGCTATGCTGACGTTCACCTAGATCATCTACGAGCTCCGTGACCACTCCTCTGGTCTCAACTGCGGTCGTTGGGACTACATCTTCAGCACCATCAAGCGCTTCCGCCAGAACCCAAATTTCATCCTGCCTGATCGCGATTCCGTGACCATGACTTCGCCATTCATGGATGCATACGTCAAGCTCCTCATCAAGACCTGCCACAAGCGCGGTGTCCATGCCATGGGCGGCATGGCCGCTCAGATTCCCATCAAGAACGACCAACAAGCCAACGACGCGGCCATGGCCAAGGTCCGTTCTGACAAGCTACGCGAGGTCCGCGCCGGCCACGATGGCACCTGGGTTGCCCACCCAGCCCTGGCCGCCATTGCATCCGACGTCTTCAACGAGCACATGCCCACACCCAACCAAATGCATGTTCGCCGCGAGGACGTGCACATCACCGCCAACGACCTGCTCAATATGAACGTGGGCGGCAAAATCACCGAGGCCGGAATCCGTCAGAACCTCGACATTGGCCTGAGCTACATGGAAGCCTGGGTCCGAGGCGTCGGCTGCGTGCCCATCAACTACCTCATGGAAGACGCCGCGACAGCCGAGGTATCGCGCTCCCAGCTCTGGCAATGGACAAGGCACAATGTGCAGACTGCAGAGGGCAAGAAAGTCACAAAGGACTATGCCCTCAAGCTTCTCCACGAACAGGCCTCCAAGTTGAGCCAGAAGGCACCCAAAGGCAACAAGTTTCATCTGGCAGCCAAGTACTTTGAGTCCCAGGTCACGGGTGAAGATTACGCAGAGTTTTTGACATCGTAAGTCTCCCCGCGCTACTTTCCCCTTCTTCTTCTTCTTCTTCTTCTTCTTCTTCTTCTCCAACAACAGCTTTCCCCTCAAATAAAACACACAAAGCTAATCAATATACACAGATTGCTATACAACGAAATCACAAACGTAGGGCCCCCCAAGGTCGCTTCCAAGCTATAGGCTTCACAACGCAACGCTATGAGCCATGCCATCATTCCCCGTCTTCTTATTTCTTTGCTCGTTTCCTCACTTGTACCCTATAAGCTTAACAATACCACATCCAATGTCGCCCCGCCCCCCCCCCTCTTGTGAACTTTTGACCGATGGTTAGAAAAACGTCAAGGAGGAGGGGAAAAAGTAGCAATCTATAATCATCTTCATTCATCATTGATCTACCTACCTAACCCCTGCCTTTTCCCACTGTTGAGAAAATAGTAACGTGTCGAACCTGAAATTAATGCCAGGCTGCACGTGTACATGGCATCGTCTCACCCCCCTTGCTACTGGCTGTAAACCCATTGATCCATGTAAGCCGTCCATGCCGAGGTCCATTCGGCTGGTCCAACGGGTGCGGGTTCGGGCGGGGACGGGGGGAGGGGACATCGTGGCAGAAGTTTGGATTTGCCAAAGGCCATGCCTAGCCCTTGGGGGGACTTGGGATGGACGTAATGGTAATGTATCAAAGGGTTGCATGTAAAAGGAGTGGGGTATGTATAGGCTTCAGTCATGTTGTATCTGCGGTGTAAATTAGATTGTACCTACATCATGCTTGTTACCACGTGAGGAATACCAGTACAAGACTAGTACCATGGTAGATCATTGCGAACATCAATGTACATTGAATTATGACACACTTGAAGCTATCACAGGCAGTAGCCACAACGAGAACCCGACTTGGCACATCACATGACGTTGAGAATCCATGATTCATAGCTCGTGGTATCTAGAGAATGGCAATATCATGCCGAGTGCATTCATTGTCCCGCGATTATGCAGACCAGATACATGACTAAACACCCATTTTGACCTGACCGATGCACCGAAGAAGCCCCAAACATATCCTCTACTTCCTGAGGAGACGCTGGTAGAAAGCGAGCTCCTCACCCTCGAGGACGTACCCATCGCAGCGACCGCTCTGGCCGGGACGGGAGGAGACAACGGCGTACAGACGACCGGCCTCGAACTGCTTCTCAACGGCGTTCTCAATCTTGCCAGAGGTCTTCAGACGCTCCGCCTGCTTGTCGGCGACAGACTTTGACTTCTTGATGTCCTCGACCTTCTCACCGGCCTTGGCCTGCCTCCTGCGGCCGAGGGAAACACCATAGTGGGCCTCGTACCATTGTCGGAATGGAGCAGCATCGATCTGGACGACGGCGGAGCGGGTCAGGGTGTTGGTACGGACGAGCTCGTTGTTGGAGGGGTGGTAGACGACACCAATGACACGGGTCTTCTTGGCGATGCCCTCGGAGCCCCAGGAGAAGTTGCCGGCCTCGAGACGCAGAGCACGGAACTTGCGGTTGCCGCCACGAGTGCGGACAAGATGGACACGCTTTGTGCCAATACGGGTGTTGGCAGGCTGGCGGCCCTTCTCGAAAGCCCTGAAGCCATGTTAGACATGACTGGAGAAGCGATCGGTTTATGCATACCTCTTCTTGCGGTAGTATGCCCTCTTCGCACCTGAAGCGGAGCGCTTGTGGCGAGAGTCACGAGAGATACTGCGACAAGTTAGCTGAGGTTGCGTGTGAAGGAGGGAAGGGCAGATAGATACCCCATATTTGCGGTTGATCAGAAGACTGCTGTCCACAAGTCTAATTAGCCTTTGCTCGATTCCAATTGTTGTCCCAGAGCCGCCGCAATGTCTCGAGGCCACTAGCAAGACAAAAGTATCCCTCCACAGGCTGCCAAAGACTGCAGAACATGTTCGTTGTTGGCGAACCATGCGTCGAAAGTGTTCTGATACGGTGGGCAGCCCACGGCGGGACGATTCGTGCGGAGGTCTCGAGTTTCGTATTGCTCAGCGGCTTCTGGTGCGCCGAAATTCCAGTGCAGTGCAAAGCGTACCTGTGTCGGGTCTTCTGGTGCAAACTGTGTTGTCGTGGGGTTAGTGAGTAGTGCTGGTCGAGAAATCCAAGTTGGCCAAACCCACGAAATTCGAATTCGCATTGCGGCCAAGGCTCGCTTAGCTAGCGCGACCAGATGAGCTCCCACCACCTGCATGCACGCGACATTCATGAACAATCCCACCATGGCAGAACATCAACAACAGAACAAGTTTTTTCACTTGTCGAGCTTATGCATAGAGTACGCATGGCATGAGTGGATCCTGCCACTCTGTTCTCTGAAAGGCACCATCTTTACCTCTTCATGGATTCGATACCGAGTACGGCCTGCGCCATCTGGGTGTTCTCTCGCCGTCCATGTCTCGAGCAACCCGTGTGGCTAGCGAAGAGAGGCACCCATCTTTTGGATCACTCTGTATCAGGCGAAGATACTGATACTTGTGAGTGTAGAATGCGCAAGTCATGATTGAACACTGCATGGGGAACATTGGATTCCAAGTCTGAGCATGTCCTTGGACTCCTATCCGTCTTCCATGCTCGATACAGCCTTTTTCGCAAACATCATTGTTACCCATCTGTGGTTATTGCATCCTCTTCCGCACCTGTCTGGATGGAATGGGCACTGTTGTGCAGCCTACGAGATGTTCAATGAAGCGTGCCAAAGAGGGAGATGGGCGTGTACAAGTCTCTGGAGCGTATGATGATGGAGATGCCTGGGACCGTGCAGAGGCATGCTATAGGTGTGAGGATCATGGGAAAACCACTAGAACAACTGAAAGGATGTACATGAGTCTACTCGCAAGGCGTGAAATTCGACAAGCATGCTATCAAGGGGCAATGTACTTCGGGCCAAGCGAGGCCGAAAAAAGCTCAACTTGTCGTCATGTTCGTGAATAGATCACAGGGACAAAAAAAGGCCAGTCGTAAGGCGTGAGCAGTCTAGAAGCCATCCGATGCAAACCACATGTGACAAATCCAACCAAGAAAACTCTGCCCACCGATGAACCACCATCTCAGGATGGCACAAGACAATGTGCACGACGCACGACGCACGACGCACGACGCACGAGAGAAGGCGTGCGAGAGCGGCGCACACGCGCATGAAAGGCCAACATCTTCTCCGTCTATACCTCCAAAGGACATGCTCTAGAGTAACAGGTGTAGTAGCACATGGACTTGTCTTGAATGCCTGCCAGCATCGTGGACCTTACGTGCAGACATGCACTTGGCAATCTACTGGTAGCAAAAGGCCGATTGAAGAAGGGCTGTCTAGAAGCCCACAAACACGCCGGAAACCGACGACATGTTGGGCCAAGGCACCAACCACCAACAAAGGGGGCCGCCGCGTGCGTGGAGGTTCGGCAGCGGTACCTTGGCCACCGACGGGCAACTTGCGGTCAACGGAAAAAGGGCTTCGGCAGGCCCAGAGAGTTGCTTTCCATGGCCTTCAAGCAACCAATACCAGAGTTTTCCAGCCGCCATACCTCCAACGGCAGCCCTCTAACACTTGACGGCAAAGGGCCACAGAGTTTTCCGTCGTGGTTGTGCCGTGGTACTATGGTGTCATACTAGAGTAGTACAAGTTGGGCCACAGTCTGACCTCCGTCTGACCCAACACGTGCCGTGTGCATCCAACGCGCCACAGGTTTGGCTTTGGCCGCCGTCGGGAAAAATTTGGACAAGGCGCGCACGCCCACGCCCGTCGGACAGACAGCAGGCCACTATTGTTGCTATTGCCAGGCACGCCCTTTTGGCGACGATTGATTCGTCCATGGTGTGTTCTATTGTTGCAGGGCGTGTTCGCATTACAGAGAGAGGTACCCTGGTGGAGAGGTGTGTCGAATGACTGGGGCGTGCACGGGACAGGGCGTGGTCTTCGAGAGTCTTCTTGACATCCTTTGATGCTGGTCCAGCCAATCAGCCTGCCCCGTCCGAAGAAAACCATCTACCGTGATGATGGGAGGCTCGACATGTTTTCCGTTGTGCAAGGCGTGCTGATGGTAGAGTAAAATTTCTCAAAGACTCGTTTTGACAAGGGCGGGTGGGCAGTCTATGGGGGTGCTGGGTATAAGAGGATCCGGGGGGGGGGGGGGGCAGCACTGTGCGAGATAGATCATCATCATCATCATCATCATCACTACAAAACAAGACATCAGTTCAGAATCTCAAGTCTACTACCTACTATTACTACTACTACCTCTTCAATACCATCATCACACACCAACCCACCTTCAGACTTCCAGCTCTCGACCCACCAACAAAATGCCATCCAACGTCTTCACCACCATGGCCTCACGCGCAAAAGCCCATCACGAGGCCCTAAACTCCGCCTACGCAACCTACTACGCCCCCGGCACCTCCACCAACCCAACCCCCACCTCCTCGACAGAAACCTCGCGCTCCTCCTCCATCGCCATGCTCTCTTCCACCACCCAACAACACACCCAAAAGCCCACAAACGCCTCAAAAGCCTGGTCGGCCATCAAGAAGCACCACCGTGAGATGAACGAAGCCTACACTGTCTTCTACAGCCCCGGTGTCGCTTCCTCTCCCACTTCGCCCAACTCTAGCGCTGTGTCTTCGCCTCGCCAGAGTGCCGAACACCAGGCGCCGCGCCATGAACTCGCCTCTGAGCTGCCGCCGCGCAATGCTACCAAGGTGTGGAAGGCGCTGAAGAACAGGGTGGTCGAGCACCACAAGAGCGTCAACTCGGCGTATGCGAAGACGTACGGTCTTCACTAGATTCCCTTCTCTCCTGTCCACTCTTCCAACCATGAAGATTACGGAGTTGAGAAATGAACAAAGAGTGCCTTTTTCAATCGAGTTTAGCGTTTGGTATTAGAGGGATAGGGGATACGTAATGCACAAGGGAGAAAAGGAGAAAATGGACAAACGGGGTTTCTTTTTGGGGGGCAAGCGAGATTCGCGCGGCAATATACCAATTTGGGCATTATGGAGTTTTCTTCAACGATTTTGGGTTCGGATTCGGGATGCGAAGTTGCTCATCAAAGAGGACGAGTTGTTTTCTGGGAGCGGCAAAGGAAGAGAGAAAAAAAATTAGGAATAGGAGAACTTCATACAACAAACACATTGTCAAACTTTGGATTTCTTCTCTCGTAGTAAAGGTGATTTTCACGGTCGAGTCAGATCTGTAAAGACGGGATTCTCTTCGCGGATGTGTTGCCGATAGGCATTGGCGATGCTCATTGAACTTTGAGCGTCAGAAATCGCAGTGTGCAATGAGGGATTGAATGCGACTTACAGATACAAGCAATGACCTTTTCCGCCGATGCTCGATAGTCCCAAGCTATTGATAGGGCAGTCGTGTTCCTTATGCAAAGAGAACGAAGCCGACGAGCCCGAAGTCTAAAGGATGCATTATAAATATTGTAGAAGCCCAAAGCTATGTAATACAGCCGAAGTCTCTCACCGCTTCAACACTGTATCATCTCAACGTCCCCGCAACCCCACCATGCTAAACTCTCATAACTCAGTATGCTCAGCAGCATCCTAAGCACTCCATCTCATAAAACCAAAAATCACATTAATCAACACACCCATGACAACCGCGACCTGCCTTCTCCTCGTCCACACCCCCTCCTCTCTAAACCCCCAGACAAGACTCCCGAGGGGCCAAAAGAAGCCCGTCATATAGCCCCATAGCATATCATCCAACCCGCCTTCCTCGACTGCAAACCCTGCGCCCCACCCCGCGTCCCCCGTACCGCCGTCTGCAGAGCCCGCAAGCGACGACGAAGGGTCGTTACCCCCACTGTCAAGCCAGCGGTCTTCGAGGACGCGCATTTGCGCGGGACTAGGCATCGTGTCCGGGGTATGTGTGAAGGAGAGGTTTGTCTGAAATTGCGAGCGGAGCATGGCTACTTCGGCGGGGGTGAAGCCTGTGGAGAGGAGGCGATCGAAGCCTTGGGCTTGGGGCTGGGGAGCTGTGGTAGTGGAACTACGGCGTCGAACATCATGTGTAGCATCGCTGTTGGTGCTGTTGTCTATGATGGTACTGCTGTCCTTGCGTTGTTTCGAGGCCGTCTCGTGTTGCGATTTCAATGCGATTTCAGTATTCTGCACGAGTGCAGATTCACTGACCAGCTCTGCGGGGGATAGGGCATCGCCGAGCGAACAGTGAATATAGTACTTCTTTGCCTCGGAGGGTATGTCTGCCGTTGTACCATACTCAATGGTCGGCGTTGCCTTCAAGGGCTGCTTCCCTTTACTCTTGCTCCCGCCATCGCGAGACGGGGGTGGAGGCGGTGGAGGTAGTCTGAGAGATCGCGATAATGGCTCCGTATCTGCGAGCACCTTACCGGCATAGATCAAGCGTAAACGCGCTGTGGCATGCTCTGGCGGTAAATGCTGCCTGATGAGTTGTTTCAAGGAGAGAGTTGCAGTCGTTCTCGGCGCATACAGCGAAAGTGGCAGGTCAGGCACCGAGGCGGTGAAGCGTATGATAAGGTATATGAGTTGCTCTGGGAGCGCGGTCGCTTGGGCCATTATGAAAAATACGGGAAACTGCGGTAGGGCGGCGACCAGCTGGAACGACGCGTGAGCCGAAGATGGTTTTTGCACAAGTCACGATGAGACATGGTGCGTTGCGAATGCGTCGACGAACCGTGCCTGCTACCTCAACATGTTGACTTGGTAGGTAGTTGCGCTGTTGGGGAGAGGAGTTCAATGGTCCTCTTACGCAAGTTGAGGGCGTTCGAGTGTTCGGAGCTTAGCATGCCTGAGGTCATTATGTCCGGGATATATCCACAACGACGCAATTGCCCCCTCCTCTCCTCTCTCCCCTCCCCTAGCCACCCCCATTTGGCTTCTATCACTTTATCTTTCACCATCGAGACATTGAGACATTGAGATCACCAGTACTACATGATCAAGATGAGTATCACACATATTGTGCTTTTCGAGTGGAAGTCTACTGCGTCTTCAGAGCAAGTGGAAGAAGTGCGCCCCCCTTCCTGCGTTCTTCACTAATTGGCAGCTCCATGGATACATGCAATCTGTATTCTAACAGCACGTAGGCATGCAAACGGATGCTAGCACTTGGAGAGAAGTGCATTCATCCGACCTCTCAGAAGCCTTACATCAAAGCCTTTACAGGTGGAAAGAATAATAGCCCAGAGGGTCGCTCCGTTCGTTTGACCCCCATTGCTACTTCCCACAGACATGATCCTGACGATTGCACCAGGACGGATTGACCCATGGCTTTGTCGTCGAGTTCGAGAGTGCGGAAGACCGTGACTACTATACTCATAGAGACCCTGCCCACCAGGCGTTCGTCCAGTTTGTGGGGCCGCTCGTTCAGGGCGTTAAAGTACTAGACTATACACCTGGGGTATTCTAGATACCGAACAAATGGTGGCAGATCGATGATGTTATGCGTGTGCAGAAAATGCCATGTCAGATACCATATCGATATGCAACGCTGGCTAATGTATAGATGTGATGCATAGGTAATGATGCAATCCTCTGGGTATCATGATACGCTAAAAGACTCCCCACAACCGCATTGTTCCGCTACCATTCGGTTAGCGCCAATCAGGGCATCCATTTCTCTTGTGACTCACTGATATTCGGGTTCTTAAAGATGAAGCGCTGGTTCAACTTGTCCTCCAGCCAGTCCATTTCACTCCCAATAATGTTCAGCAGGGCCTTGTTGTCGATCAAAACCTTGACCCCATCTTGCTCCACTTGCTCGTCCAGCATCGATGGCTTATCCACGTATTCTAAATGGTAAGCCAGGCCAGAGCAGCCCTTTGCCTTGGTCCCAATTCTTATGAGCTTTGGTTCCGGTAACTCGAGGAGCTCTCGTAGATGTGCTACTGCGGAGGGTGACAGTTTGATAGTAGCCTTGCGGGGGCCGAAGTTGTAGCGACGCGGTCGAAGCGGTTTGCTAGTAGGCGCCGGCTGTGGTTTTTGCGCTTCGCCCTCTGATACGCTCACTTTGGGTTGGTCTTGTTGTGACAGCCGACTGAGGTCTTCAGAGGTTACCCGCGACGGTGTAAAGCTTTTTGCCTCGGTTGCGCTGCCCGCTATCGAAGTGTCTGGAACACCGCAATTGCGTGGCGGGGGCGGCTGTGAGCGCAGCGATGAAGGCTGGTATGCAGTCGCAGTCTGCATCTGCCGCTTAGCAGACTGCCGATACATCCGCGATGACGAGAAGTTGCGTAGGCATTGTGGACATTGGCGGGGAGCGCTGGCGTGTGTGGCAAAACGCACGACGGTCGAGGAGGAGCGCGCAAACGACATGGTCGTGCGCGCTAGGGACATGATGGTATGGTAGGAGGAGTAAAGGAAGAGCGCAGTAATGCTTGGGATGGGATGCGGGTGCGCTGATTGTCGCGAGCAGGAATGGCGAAAGTGACAGGTGATGGATGATAAGTCACCAGAGAATTGCCCATGTAAACTAGAGTACTTGTAGGCGTATCGCTATGTCATCCGCCCGCTTGTGTCGGACACATGGGACTCGAGGGTCTCATTACCAAGCAGCCACTTTTGATTGGCTGCCAGCTCTTCTGCGCCCATCGGAATCTCGAAATGAATCAACTCCCCTCTCATCTCGTCCCACGTCCATAAACGTCCATTAACCGCTCGCAGAATCATCATCACGAATCTTGCTTGTGCTACGATCAGTTGATGAGATGAGACTCTGCAGATAGCTTGCAGTGGCACAAGATTCTTCTAATTAACGGTTACATCATTGCAGGCTACAACCTAAACTTGTTCTATTGTAGCCCATGCCACAAAAAACTTCCTCTAAACACCGACAAATCCATCGTTGCATCTACCGGTACCGCCTCCGAACGCCATACATCCGTCCATCGATCACCCAACAAGTCTCCAGTGCATCGTCTCAACATTTACAACTCAATGGACTCCTGCTTGCCCATGTAGCTAAGAGGTCCCTTCTTGACCATCAAAGTCATGACCTCGTACAACACGTCCTAATCTGCGTTAGTGCAAGGAAACACTGATATGTCTCAATATAAAACTTACTGCAGCAGCCATGGTAGTAAGCTCAGCATTGGTGTCATACGCAGGGGCAACCTCAACAATATCTGTCGCAATGAGGTTGATGCCCTCAAGACCGCGAATAATGGTGCGGAGTTCACGAGTGGTCCAGCCGCCAGTCTCTGGTGTGCCAGTAGCCGGTGCGACTGCAAATTCTATTAGCTCAGGTACGCAAGTAGGAGAATTCAGCAAAGCTTACAGGCTGGGTCAAGGGTATCAATGTCGATACTCAGGTATACGGGCTTGTCGGTGCCGACTCTGTCCTTGATCTTCTTGATGATACCATCGGTACCGATCTTGTCGATCTCTCTAGCCTCAACAATCTCAAAACCACAGTAACCATCGTTTTCATAGTCAGATGGTCCAGACAGCGTCGTGCGGATGCCGGCATGGATATTGGTGTCATTGGCCAGGAGGCCTTCCTGTGCAGCGTGGTAGAAGTAGGTGCCGTGGTTGATTGCGGCTTGGTCACTAGGAGCGCCACCAAAGACCTTGGGTTTCCATGTGTCCCTGACCAAAACTTTAGTATTCATCCGAGCGTTCGTGAGTATGACTAGCTTACAGATGACTGTCGAAGTGAATAACGCTGACAGGGCCGTAGGCACTGGAGCTGATGTTAGTACAAGTTGCATAAATTGAAGATCCGAGGACTACAGACCGGTTGATCGAACGAAGCAGCGGAAGTGTGATGGTGTGGTCACCTCCAAGCGTAATCAGACGAGGAAGAGTAGTGCCTTTCTTGGAAGGACCAGGCTTGTGGGCATGAGTGTGAGGAGGACGACTGAGAAGAAGGTTGTGGCCCTCTTCAATCTGTTGGAGCGCATAGGCATTGTCGTATCTACATGAACGGTCAGTCTTTGGTTCTCGTTTGTGCACGCAACAATTAGTGGATCACTGGAGTCTTACGAAGTGACGGGAATATCTCCGCAATCAATAACCTTTGCCCATGAGTTGAAAGGGTTCGCCTTGAGGGGAACATTGTATCCGCCGCTAAATCCAATTCTGCGTGAGCCTTGACCCGCTAATAGTAAGCATGCGATTGCAGTAAGATGGACGTACTATAGGTTAAGGCGGCGAGAACCTTGTCTAATGCCACTGGGGCCGAATCGAGCGCCTGGGCGGTAGGATGTGCCTGTGTCAAAGGGGGCGCCTGTTTCCACGTTAGACTGCGAGAGGAGCGTCAATTTGGAATTCAGTACCAATGAATGCAATGTCATAGTTCACGTCGGTGGTCAGGCATGGCTGGTAGTTGATACGACCGAATGTGGATATGCCAGAGAAGATGGAGTCGGCCTAGAGTTGGTCAGTTACTATGCTCAGAATTGTCTGTAGAGCATGGAGTCTGACTTGGGTTCCACCATCACCAGGAAGTGTATTGTACCATAGCTTCTCGAGAGGGCCACTCATTGGCTCTTGGTCGTGGCCATGATCGCCATGTGCAGCCGCGGCCGTGGCAAAGCTGATAATAGCTGTAGAAACCTTCATTGCGAATTTTCTGCAGCTGTAAAAGGTGAATAGAAAGTCGATGCGGTAATGGATAAAGTCCACCAGAGAGGGCAGGCGAGGTGAATAAATGGAAAAAATTCATGGTTTCAGTATCAGTGCTCGTGTTGACGCGGTCGCGTTAGGTAACACTGCTGTTAGGTAGACAGCTTGGAGCTACCCTGGTCTATCATGTCATATGCAGGTATAGCACCGTACTGCCTCGAATCGGTTAGGAGCTCTTGGAGATATCATCTTCGGTAGTCGTTGGCAGTTGCGTAACCAGATTCGACTTCTCCGCACTTCTTGAACCCCATGAGAAAAAGCGTCAAAAGTAGAACAACGGTAGTCACAGACGGGTGAATATCAACGACTTTATAGGATGGTATGCATCATTGAGACACCTTGATGGTCTTTCAAAAGCCAGCTAAACATCGCTTCTCACCAGAACCAACACTCAAAGTGGTCAATGGGCCTTATCGATCCGTGTGGGAACAACCCCGGTCATGTGCGATGACGGTTGCCGCGATGTAGAATGTTTGAATTGACCAGTGAGTACCAGGATAGACGTTTCGTAACGGCCATTTTCAACCTCTCGATCTCTTGGTATCGGCCTTATCTCAAGCGTAACAGCGTCCGGCAGAACTATGTGCTCATTCACGTCATGAGCTATCAATGCAGTTCTTTCGTATGATTAATATTGGCCCAGCCAGCCAGTATTCTTCATTCTTCCATTCAAACGAAGTACTATACATATTCTGATTCATTCTCGGTGGCAGTGTCGGTTAGCAATCCTGAGACATTGGTTCGACAAGCTTCTGTGGTGTGGACTCGGCCGTCGGTGAGGCAATGCAAAAATCGGTCCGCATAACCAGATCACCGTCTACATTTTGCCGCTACAGAGCGTGCTTGCAAAAGAGAGTGCAATGATTCATGCTTTGTGGCTTGAATTCTATCGAGCTGGCACCGTTGCGGGGTGTATAGCACATGGAGTGAGGTTGAGGCGGGGAGCAAGGGTGGAGATAGCCGGCACGCTAATCGTCAGTCTACCCGCTTTAGGTAGATTACAGCACCTCGTGCATGAGATCTCCGGCTTGCTATCTATCTCTACTTGGTCGATGTCTAAACGTCGTTGCTAATCGGCTCGATCGCCGCCAACAACACCAGCAGAGTATGCTATCTACTTGCTTCATTGGGAAGTCCGCCTTCCGCGGGACCCCCGAGCTCTGCTCTGTCATCTGAATCCATTCGCGCAAAGGCTTTTTCGACCTGATTGTCCCAATTGCTCCAGGCAACGATAGCCCATTCGCCGAAGCCTACCAGATAGAGGGCAATGCATTGTCCTACCCATAGACCTCCAAGACCCCAGCCGTGGAATGCCAGCCAGATTCCCAATGGTAGAGCTCCACAGTAATAACTCACAACGTTCACCGTGGCTCCGATGTGTTGTCGTCCCATTCCTCTGAGCGCGCCACCACAGCTTCCATTCAGCCCGTCCGCAATCTGGAATAGCGCGACATAGGGCATGACCTGCGCAGTCAACTTGACTACCTCAACATCATCGTTGAAGATCTTTGCATAGAAGTCTTTTACTCCCATCAAGACAGCCAAGACTAGCACACCCAAAACTATACTCAGGACCGCTGCCGTGTTTGCTGCCCTGGCTGCACCTCTCGCATTGCGCGAGCCGAGGAGGTTTCCTACGCGTGAAGATGTGGCAACGCCGACACCGAATGGGATTGTATTCATGACCTGGTCCGTAGTCATGATGACACTCTGCGCGGCCAGTGGAATCGTTCCGAGCTTGCCTGCTACAAGGGCGACAATTTCAAATGCCCACCACTCCGTGCCAACGTGTATAACACCGAGAAAAGCCAGGCGTGAAAATGTTCCCATATTTTGAAGACATTTCCGGTCCCAACCACCCCAACACTCCCAACCGTCGATAAAACGTGCGTAGGCCAGGAGAAGAAGGAATGACGCCCAGTAAGCGATGCCAGTGGCAAGGGGCGCTCCAAGAAGCCCCATTCTGAACGTATAGACAAAGAGGTAGTTGAGCCCAGCGCTGAGGGGTGACGTGATCAGTAGCACATATGTGCCAGGTTTCATTATTCCTTCATCACGTCAGCAGCTGAACAAATAATCCAGTGGTACAACTGACCTTGCGCCTGCAAGTACTTTTTCAGTGCTTCGAAGTAGATATAGCCAACGCCACCGGGAACCAGGACTGATAAAAATCTTGCCGAGTCCCGCGCAATGTAGGCTTCCTGGCCAAGAGTTTTGAATAACGGCTCGGAGCATAACCACAGGATGGCGATTGGAATATAGAAAGCCAAAAGGACAACGAAGGACCGCTGTAGGATGATGCCGAGATCATGACGATGCTTACTTCCTGTGAATGATGCCGAGGCGAGGGTGTCGATTGCTGTGGTGCCTCCAAGAGCGACAAGCCATCCAGTAGCCATGGCGAACATGTACGAGAACGCAGCTGTAGCCAAAGCTTCTGGCGACAGACGTCCGACGATCAGGACGGACACTGTCTGCAACGAGTTTTGCAACGCGTATGCGATGACCACTGGCAGCGATCCCTTCAGGAGGATCCAGAACTCTTGGAGCAGTAATCGGAGCCTTGTTTTCGATGCGTCTTCGAGTTCTAGGGAATCACTAGTGGCCCATTCCTCATCTTGTGACGGTGGAAGAAGCGACGTCCGCTCGTTCGGTGTAGAGTCTGGCTCGGTTTTCTTTGAAAGTCCGAGAAATCTGGGTAACCAAGAGTTCAACTTGCTCACTTTGGAATCCATACTGAGGGTCAGAAGGGAGGAGTTTAGGAAATATCAGTCATAGATTGCAGCCTGATTTGAGGGATTAGATCTTGATATAAGCATTGGGTTTGGGTTCTTCGATAGGAAGGCCCAGGGTGAGGATGAATAGAGCAGGCAAAACGCACGCTGTACATGAAAACTGCACGAGCAACGTAGTGGATGCCGATAGACCCTGAGATGATAATACCCATGACAATACAAGCTCGGCGTAGAGTCGGTGTGGTCGCCCAGAGCTAAGAGTCTGCCATAGACAAGACAAACATTCACCTCACGTAGGACACAGCTACATGCCTGTAATCCTAGCCTAATTCACCGTAGTAGATCGTCTTAATCTGTGGACCAAATGCACATGCCGCTGTAGCCTTATCATCTGCGTATTCGTCCTATTGACTAAGGCCGTCCGGTAAATGTTACGTGACACAGTCTCTCTCGTAAGTTCACAGGGATCCACCCATCGGGGCTGGAGATGGCGTTGATACCGGTACCGACATTGCGGGCTTGGTCGAATTATACCGGTATGGCTTGAGCGGTCCCGTTTCGGGGGCGGCCGGTGCAGCTCGACGACCCTGCTTAAAGTGCCTAAGGCTCTTGGGTCGATGCAGATGTGCATGTCTTCGATCTTGCTAACTATGTGGACTCTGTTATGCGTGGGTGCAGAGTTGCGTAAATGGATGCTCGAAAGCTTAGCGCGTTGTGCCGTCCCGGTACCGGTAACTTTAGGAAACGGCTCCCAAGGTTGGGTTGTCCATGGTTAACGGTATGGCATCAGCGATAACACCATCTAGATCTGCCATGTTGCCAAAGACCATTATTGCAAGATGTGGATCGTGAGAGGAACGAAGAGAAGAATGGCTGGGAAGTCGAAGAGGGGCCGAAGGGACGAACACGCTAAGCAATGAGAAGCACAGCCCTGGTAGGTAATCCGATGAAGAGCTGAAGAAGCAGTCACAAGGCAACATTCTCACTCGCGAACCTAAGCTTCTCGAGTTCAGGTCTTTAAAAGGGTGTGACGGGGAGTACATATCGCTTGAGCCCAATGTTGTGATGTGGGGGCAGTGAGAGTCGTGGAAAGGCCTTCGCGCACCGCTGTTCGAATCACAACACGAGTGCTCTTCTTGTGGCGCACATCGTGCCGCCCTTATTCTATTCTTCAGGCGCAGAAACCTCAGCTCTGAGTGAAACAGGTCTCAAGCTCTCAGGCTGTAGACCGGCTATGGAAGTCATACGAATTATAGTTGACCAGGCTGCCATTTGTGACACCCACCTGCCAGCCGCAGTCTTGGCCCATTGGGCGGTTGTTTACCGGTATAGGCCAGACTGGATACTTCAAATATGTATAGACTGCCTGTTTACTTTTCCCTTCTCGTATCCATCTCATCTTCCGTAACCTGAAGATTTTTCTTTTACCTAGCTCACAACTGTCCAGAGCAAGATGGCAACAGATTTTCGGCTGCTCAGTCTTGATGGTGGTGGTGTACGAGGCCTCGCATCCCTGTACATGCTAAACAAGATCCTTTCATATGTTGGCAGCCCGAAACCATGCGATTACTTCGACATGATATGCGGTACAAGCACTGGAGGGTTCGTCTGCTGCTTCACTCACAACCTTATCCACGCTGACTCATGCATGCTGCACAGCTTGATCGCCGTCATGTTAGGCCGACTTGAGATGTCTGTAAAGGAATGCATCGATGCGTACATTGAACTGATGGACGTCGTGTTTGATCCGAAAGATAAGAAACAGTTACCATTCAAGTTGCGCAACGGCAAGGTGCAACCCAGGTATGAGACGAAGCGTTTGGAGAGCGTGATCAAGCAGATCATCGCGAGAGCCGGACACCCTTCCGATGCCTTGTTCAGAGGTACAAAAGAATCCAAATGCAAGACGTAAGCTATGCTCAATAACATCACAATCAGGAGTCATTAACAATCATATGCAGGGTTGTCATTGCTCTGGCCGAGGAGGCTATCTCTCCGTCCCGATTTACGGATTATCGCAAAACAGGAGAGTATTCAGAGTTCTACAACGAAGTGAAGATTTGGGAAGTGGCTCGCGCTACATCAGCTGCGACTTCTTTCTTTGAACCCATGAAGATCATTGCAGCAGGTGAGCCCAGAATCTTTATTGACGGCGGTGTGGGCTTCAACAACCCTATAAACGAGCTGCACGATGAGGCATCAACGCAGCTCGTCACATTGGACCAAGATCTTGATGATCATATTCGTGTTCTCGTTTCCCTTGGTACAGGCAAACCGGCACACCGTGGCTTTGGAAGCAAAGTCACGGAAGTCGCGGAGAGCATCACGAGGATGGCGAGCGAAACCCAGCATACAGCGGATACGTTCGATCGTGCTCACAGAAGACTGGTCGAACGAGATGGCTACTTTAGGTTCAATCCTCCAGATCTCAACGAAGTTGCGCTTGACGAGGCAAGCAAAAAAGGCATCATCGCAGCACGATGCGATGCTTTTGGAGGAAGCCCAGATACAGAGCGTATGGTAAGACGTTGGAAAAAGGTCGCGGGAACTGGGCAAAGTGCGTTGACTCTTGCTGCCTTTGTGGATTTTACTTGAAGCCTGTAGTGCTTTTTGTGGAGAGTAGATCATATACTAATATACTGTTGTCCCTAGTAGCCCTCCCTCGTCCCACGTCACCGTCCACACTGGTAGAAGGAATGCGAACGAAGTTGTTTTACACGCTCCATAAAAGCCCAAAGTATATCAAAGAGCCCGTAATATCGTATTGGCAGCATCTCACAATCGATTCATACTATGTTTTCGAGAAGATATACGATGAGTGCGAGAAAACTAATGAGAAAGTTTCGCGTATGTACAACATTTTAGCCAAAGCTTATGGGACAGGAGCTGAACATCAAGAAGTGAGATCATTTTTCCTACAATTTGGAGCAGCAGATCGCCCAACACCTCGAGAGGTAGCAGAGGTGTGGACACGCCTACTACGTGACAAGTCCGACGTTCGCAACTCATCTCACCGCAAGCCATTTATCATGGCTGTGCTGTACATGTTACATATAGAAAGGAATCTAGGGGTGTCCAAAATGGTTGAAGTGAGCCCAGACCGCCGCGAAACGCTCAAGCGCTTTGCCAAATGGGTCCCATGCCAGTGCAAGTGTGGCCGGGAGTGGAACTTTGTCAACGAGATCGGGCTTTCGCGAAGCGGTGATACACGTCGAGAGTGCGACTTAAACAAGTTGTTCGACTGTAATAGCTGGATGCTTGTGTTCAAAGGTGATCAGGTGCGCAAGTTGGAGGCCACACGACAGCTCTGGGAGGCAATAGTATGAGAAGGATGATTTAAGGATAATCCATCTTTGCATAGAACGCCTTGCTAGCCTTGATGTATAGCCATCTATGTGATCTATGGAATAGCGATAGGTCGACTGTACTACGGGAGATAGCAAGAATGCAAATTGACGTGTCCACTGTCTATCAGGGTTGCTGCGTTATTTATGTCCCGCAGAAAGAGAAACAACTTGTTTTACAGACCTGCCGAGTTACAGGCATACCGGGGCGATTGTGTGACAGCATGATATATGGTGTACCCACAAGTGTCTTGATATAAGGCCTGTCATCTGCTCCTATACCGGCACGAAAAACATTATCACAATGCATTATGGTCGGATGTCCTTGATTGACTTGTTTTTCTTTTGCCATTACCATCACTATCATGAGGGTTACAACTGCCCTTACCTTCCTAACAATCTGGAGCAGTGCAGTATATGTGCAGGCGCCAGCGGAAAGAGTAGTTTCAAGTTCCACGAGCATGCTCTTGGAGATGTTCCATAAACTATAAGTGCATGGTGAAGACGGGTGTATGAAGACCTCAAAACGTACAGAGTTACAAGTTTTGATAGTCTCTGCCCATCATAGCAATCGCAACCAGAAAAAGTACTACAAGCCTAATGCATATAACAGTGAAGGCAAATCCTGCTTATGTTCTGAAGTTCCTATGGAAAATCTATAGCAGCAGCAGCAGCAGCATTATTAGTACTGGTGGTGGCTTTTGATCTCTCTGGCTGCATGACTGCGATACTCGTATTCTATAGCTCAAGGGAGACGCCTCAGTCTACCTACAAACCCACCGAATTACACCCGAATTAAGACGATTCCTAGATCAAGTTAAAATATATTTTCCATCTGCTCTGGCACCTAGAGACTTAGTTCTGCAAAAGTCGACGTGCAACACGTCACTTTGTTCTTGATTCACGGTATACCAGCATCATTTGCATATAATCAGTTTACCACCGCTGTTACCATCATGAAATCACAACCGTAGTTACCTTTCCGGAATTCTGCAGTAGGGCAGTATATTCCCCCATAGCATTTGCAGTTTTAATTGCTGCAGAGGATATTGATGGATGCTTTACGAAGTGTGGCCCAGGAACTAAATGCATGAAGGGGAAGTACCTTACTAGCTCCTAACATGTGAGACTTTATGACTGCTCATAGCTTGTTTACTAATATACAGCGTTGGAGACTGAGGGTGTCTTTCAAAATCGTCCTGTCAACGATAAATGTCTAGGCAGGTCCCAAGAGATGCCTTGGTACAGAAAACTCGGAAAATTCGGCTATCGCTACAAAGATTGTACTGAATTTCATAGGTGAGCAACTCTTCTTTTGTTTCAGACATTATTAGTGTAGAACTAGTACGAGTAGTGATAACTCAGTGAGTAATTAGACTACGTAGTAAATATGGTAAGACTGAATACATAGGACTAGAGTGACTGCTTTTATCCTAACATCTAGCCAACCCTTGGAGAACATTCCAACAAACCAGTGGTAACTTCACTCTGATTCATCTCATAGTCAACGAAGTCCTTGCATATGCTCGGACATTAGCTTCTAGGATCGTAACAGAGCAGTGCAGAGGAACAGGGGTCTGAATTAAGTAGTGTACTTTCCTATGATAGTATAGTGCACGTCGATCTGCCCGAGTTTTTCTCTCCTAGAAAAAGGTGTGATGGCAAGAACTGCAACTGCCAATGAGATATCAATTCATCAATCTTGTCAAGCGTAGAAATCAATCGAGCCGCAGCCGTACATCTGCCATTCATCCCATTACCAGCACACGTTATTCTTTCCAGCTCTGTTCAATTAATCACAAATCCCCAGAATCTTCCATTCAGAGGGCGTTATTTTCTGATTCACATGGCTTATGCATTGATTTGGCCGAAATATGTTTCCTATGGAAGCAAATTATATCAAACTGCCATGTCAATATGACCTTTGCCCAGATCCGCCAGAGTGCATATGAAACAGTTTCGGGCCAGCCATCTGGTGTCTTGACGGTCCTCCGTACTCACTTCCCCCTGCGCGTGAAGGCGCGACAGACGGCGATGCCCCGACCGGCACGTCTAGATTCCAGTCATTGATAGAGCCTGGGCCTTGAGCTGGTGGCTCTGTTTCTACGTATGGCGGCCGAACTGGCTCAATGGAATGCACAATGTTACGACGTTTGTCCCGTCGCCGCCAGCAACAACAATATCCAAAGAGAAGCGTGAGGGCCAACACTACAAGACCAGCCACGGCGATCAAAGCAATGGCAGTTGTGCTGAGTTTGGGGCCGCTGCTGCCACTGCTACTGCTGCTACTTGGTCCACTCGTAGGTGACGTTGGACCAAGAGTCTGAGTGAAACCTGGGATCAAAGTAAAGGGATCGTCTGCGACAGCTGTGGTTGGAGAAACTGGCACTGGATTTCCTCCATTAGTTGCTGTAGCAAGCACGAGAATTTCCTGGCTGGCAGTGCCGCATGCACGCGAGTAGTACGTTGTCGAATCTCCTCGCGCTGACGAGCGGGCATAGCGGAAACAATGTGGAGCCTCTGCAGAGCTATGATGGTGTGAACATGGATACTATTCAATTTGAAGTGGTCGGCATACGTACCATTGCAGTACTGGGCCAAAGATACCGGTGCAAACACCCTCTTCTAGGTCGAAGCCTTGACAACCACCTTGTCCAAAGTCCCGGCACCAGCCCCAGTCATCGAGACACTCGATGTTGTTGCAACAACCGAAGACGGCGTCAGTGTGTATAGCCGTAGCACAGTTGTAACCGTTTGGACATGTTAAAGGCGATGCTTGACATTGTAAGTTACCAATCACGATCCACATACTTGAGCCGAGACTATGTACCTGAGTTGCCTGAGACGTATCCACAAGTCGCGATAGCTCTTTTCCCAAGATCATTATGGAGAACCGGTGGAGCTGTAATCATATTCGCCGCGTCCGTGGTTAGTGTACTCATTTGGGCAACAATAAGATCTTCTTTGCAAGAACGGCAGAAACGACCCGTACAAATGTGACCACTAGGAAGTGAAGGATCAGTCTATAGCAATCGTGAGAATATCAGCACAGTGTGAATGCAAAAGAGAGGTCCCTCGAGTCCGAAGAGAGGAATGCAGCCCAGGCACACAGCTGATGTGTGGTGTAACCACCCCCTGTCCACGAGCTGAGAAACAAAAGCAACGCTTCTGGTGCCTAAAGAATCAGCCTTGTTGCAGGAGTGTATACACAGCAAAGAACAGCATACCGAAATAACCGAGGCGCCACCAATACATCGCGACTTCGTACTGAAAAAGGCTCGGCTCGTTTTGGCGGCTACCGGTATAGTCCTGTAACACTCAAGTGGATTGTATCGGTTGACCCGATAGGCGCAGTGAGAAGGGCTACTACTCTAGTATGATGGATCCTTCCGCCTATCTTAACATACTCAGCTTATGACAGATCATTCTCTGAGGCTGCAGGCCCTTGTGAAGTAGCAGTGCAGACGTGTCACACTTTGCAGGTTCAAACAAAAGCGTCCTGCGATACACAGTAGCGCTTACTCTCCAGTCCATCTCGAGACCAGCTCGGAAACCTGGAGGGATCCATTGCGCCTGAAGAAGCCTTGAAGACGCGAGACTTGCCAAGGCTTCTCTCGTCGTGATTCAGCGCCCAAATGTATGCCTTGTTTGGGCTATAACCACGCGGGTTGTGGGAGATGGGGAAAGCCAGTATTGAGCCACAATCACAATGGAGTCGATTCCATAGTCCGAGCTCCAGATGGTTCACAGTCCTGCTCGTTATTAGGAATAGTTGACTGCTGTAGGCACGTCTTGTGTAGGAGTTCATATGACGTGCAAGCTCGACGAAAGGGGGTCCCGAGGTGTAGGTTTGAGACGAGATCCAACGTAAATGATACGAGAAAAGCGAGAAGCGTCCAAATCTACCATCTCGATATCCTTGTAATTATAATAGTGATAAAAACCACTCCCACTCCGTTCAGGCAGAAGAGTAGAACAAAGTCATCGCAATGGCTAACTGAAGTACGATGCCGCGCGGATACATCCCCCCATCGGCTCCACCTTCCCCATCCAGCATTCCCCGCGGAGCACAACTCGCTCTGCACCATGTCCACCCACGCGCAACGCAACGCGCAGCGCGACACTACCGGTAACGTTGAAAGATAAAACACCAATCCACCTACCACAATCTCTCCTTACTCTTTTTGTGTATACAATGCCACCACCACCCACCCCCCACGCCTCCCCACCCTTGAACCAAACCCCTTACTTCTCCACCGTCCTCAATAACCCTCCCACCGCCAACAACCCGTCCTCTCCGTCCCCACGTTCACGCCCACAACCACGGCCCGCACCCGACTCCTCCTCCTCCTCCTCTTCCCACTTCACCGCAGGCCAACGCAACGCCCAAGCCCGCCACAAAGAATGGACCTGCTCAAGCGGAAGTGGCCAAACGAGCAGAAACGCAGAGAGCTACGAGCAGAGGCAAGAAAGAGATCGTGCGGCGACTATTCTGGATAGTGTAGAGATGTTGATGTGGTTTGCTGCTGCGAGGAACGAGGTACAGCTTCCGCGATCCTGGCTAGAACATGGCTTGGAATGGGGAAGGAGGGAAATGAGACGAGGGTGTAGGTGCGAAGACTAGGGACTTGGGCTGACTGAAAGTTCTCAGAGTATACCGCAGACACGACACTATTACCAGAATATTGTGCTTGGACTGAAGAATGAGGGTCATGTGGAGTGGCGTGAGGAATGGGAGTTGCCCTTGCAAGAGAGAGGAGGCGGGGAATTGGCGAGTCCGACAAGGAGTGGCCAGGGTAAGGAGAGGGAGAGGGTGAAGAAGAGGGTTAGTTCTGCGCACACGTATACTCAAGAGGAAGCATGGTACATTGCATAGGGCGACGATTTCATAAGGATGTGATTACGAGTACAGAGTTATGTATATGATTACGAGTACGGGGTTTGGCATGGCACGGGCGCAATGGAATGGGCAGTGGTAATATCGTTGAGCAGTATGATACGAAGCATTATACCCCAATAATTTTTATTTGAAAATGAAAGCGCATGTACAAACAGCAGCGCATGCTACACTATCCTATAACCCGTCAAGAGGAATTTTATTCCCAATTGCTCATTCGCATGCCGATTTGTTCTCATTGGTTTCAGTGAGAGCATATCGACTATAGATATGCCAAAAAGCCCCCTAAAACAAAGAGGGCTAACGATGCGTCCTCCACCCATCAATCGACAGGTATATAACAAATTCATCTTCTCAGCAAGAACGACCACAATCCTGGCTGCCTTTTCTCTCCACCCTCTTTAAAATATTACACCCCCTCCTCCATCGTCACGTTTCGCCACCACGGCTTCTCCCCTCCGCTATCCGCAAACATCTCCTCCGCATCCCCGACTTGCCTCCTCTCACTAACCTCTCTGCTAATCTGCCCGGACAACTTGAGCCTCATAGCTTTGCTGGCTAGGAAGGGGCTTTTTCGCGAGCTCGTTCCATACTGAGTACCCTGTGTCAATCCTTGGGAGGATGAGCGGATGATCTCGCTCGACGCCCATCCATCCCTCATGACGGGTAGTTGCTATTGCAGAGGTTCCGAGGACGAGGAAAGTCTGTTAAGGTGCAAGTAGACATCTGTTCCATATCTAGTGTGTCGCATTAGTGCGTGTTTTGGTCGAGTTTGGATGTGTTGGTGGTGTAAAACATACCCCTCCATGCTAATCAACTTCAAGTCTCCGCCAAAGTATCTGGCGTACAGCCGCGATATAGGTAAACCGTACCCAAACCCAGCCATTGGCGCTTTGAAATCACTCTTGTTGAAATCAGGATCCAGGCTTGGTGTTTGATCCACAGTGGTATACATGTACGTCCACACCAACGGGATCGACGACCTCGGGATACCACCTCCCTCATCTGAGATTTTGATTGTGATATCCTCCTTGCCTTCAGCAACGATGACTTTTGTGACCGGGAAATCATCCTTATCCTGACCATGCCTCTCGACCACGGCACGCAGCGAGTTTTTGAGTGTCTCAAAGAGCATATGCGACAAGTGACCTGGGACATACATGAAGCTGATGTCGTTGTTGCACACGAGCTGTACCTTGGGCGCATCGAAAAGACCATAGTGATCCTCGCAGACAAATCGCGCATTCTCAATAGCTTCTTGCGCAAGTTCGCGAACGTTAGTCTTTGTGCAAATGATTCCCACATAGTTGGGATCAGAGCGCGATCGCTGGTCTGTGAGGGCGATGTGCTGACCGATGAGCATTCGGATGCCAATACGCGACATGTAGAAGCGGTCGAGGAAGGCCTGAATATTGTGATCGATTTGCATCCGTTGTCGCTTGCGCTTCCATTCTAGAATGCCCTGGGCGACCGTAGTCACAACGCTGTCGTGCCGCCTCTTGATCTTCTCCAGTGTGTCTGCAAACTTGGTATTGTAAGCGCCCAGCTCAGGTGGCCAGTCTTGCCCGTCATCTGCTGCAGCATAGTATCTCCGACTCGACGTGGCGCCCTTGACCTCTCTAGTGATACTGCCACCGTTGCCAAAGCCATTGCCATTGCCATTGCCATTGCCACTGCCGTTCGACCCTGGCGCTGATCGGTACTGGCCCTGTTTGACACTGGGATTCTGTGTAGCCTGGCTAATCAACCTTTGATCCTTGCCATTTCTCTTCGATGGTCGCAGTAGTCTCTCTTTGACTTCTGAGTCGAGGTTCGGTCGGGGCAGCTGGACGAGTTCCTGTTGGTCGTGTGAGACAAGACGTAAAGTAGCCGACAGACCAGCATCACCCACTTCGAACGACTGCGCATACCAGTCTCGCACCCGGCAGATGGACGGCATCTCATTGAGGCCATCTGGCAGCTCGTTGAGCTCTTGCACGCGGTGTGCCAACCGTATAGGGAGTTCCTCGGACAAGAACTGTGACGCGCGGAAGAGGGTGCCAGTCGAGGGTTTTTCTCCAAACTGCACCATCTGCCGTAACGACACACCTAAGGACAGAGACCCGTTAGACAAGACGCTCACATGATCTCCAGAGCAAACATACCAGTCGCCGGGAAGTTGCTATAGTGCTACGGATGGATTAGCTACGGGTCCATCCTGTGCAACCGCCTTACGTACTTTGATCGTGTCCATCAGTCTTTCGCTACGCTTCCACGACATGATGTCAATTGTGCAAGGCCGTTCGGCCTATCTTGTCGCGGTTTCGCCCAAGTATGCTACCTCACGAGTCTTGTAGTTGCTGATGTCGCCCGTCCGTCAAAGCTATCGGTATTCCGCCCCGCTATGACGCTAATTCGACGGACGGATTTGATAGACCGAGGTAACGACGCACGCGTGTGCTGAAGCTGTTCGAGATGGAGGCACCGAGACAACAACGAGAGACACGATATAGCATGGGGCAGTCGTCGGTTCGAGAGGGAGGTGACTGGACAATTCACATGTGGGAACTGCCGCGTTCCGCACAACCTGATCCGTGAAGGGCTTGGGTCTTTCCGGCCCCCCACACCCACAGTGACCACACTTAGAGCCTCTTCAACGTCGAGGTGTGGCTAAACAGCGCTACGAGAATGCTATAGGTATGTATACGACAAACTCAAGTCCGACACCTGACCCGGGAAGGTTGTTCAGGGGGCCGTGTCATTTTTATTTTGTGCCCACGTCAATGGATTAGTGCGCGCATGACTGACGTGAATACATGGATTGCGAATAATCGTCCATGATGTGCAAGTACTGTGTATAGCGTATACAGTATACAGTGCAGTGCCCACCGGCTACAGTACTGTAGTATAGTAGGTGGGCAGACAGCTCCAGCCACACAATCCTCGGTTAGAGTTCGGAAACTCCAGTACGGGTGACGAGGAAGGACGGAGGGGTGGCCAGCGGGAACACGGACATGCTGATTAGTATACTCTTCCATAGGCCCGAGATGCTCGCGTGAGTTACAGTATACTTTTGAGCCTAGAGCACGCACCACTAGTCTTACCCTTCACAGAGTTTGTTCTTTTATGTCGGCCTCTCGGCATGCGTCAGAAATCTTGCAAGCCTATCATTGGCCATTACCGGCGATCAAAAGGCCTCATGAGTTAATTGTGGTGAGAGAGATACGTGACCATTCTGCCGCCGACTTCAACATCACTGCAGTAGGCACTCGACCTGGCATTGTGCTCCCCCCCCCCCAACAAACGAAAGCCAACGTTATACTTGTGATACGGATAGATCCAGGGGTTCGCCATTACCAAATGTAGTCACGTTGCAGCCAGCACGAAAGAGTATGTGCATGTTAAGAGGAGAATTGGTATTGCGAGTTTTATTCCGTGCGTGCCGCTAAGTTCAAAACCAGCCCGGCTCTATGCTGCATCAGAAATCAAAAAAAAAACGCCCTGGCATAATAGACCAAGTATATGTTACAATAGACCATGGCGCGCTCCAACTGCGCTCCATTGGCCATGGGTTGTCTATCGTCGTGGTGGTACAATTGCAAAAAAAAAAAGTAGATCTGATGAATCAGAGAAGGTTCATGGCGTGTCGAGGAGATGTGTGGAGGCGAGGGCGATGATGGTCAGGAAGCGCTTATTTGGTCTCCTCTTTGAGAAAAGTGACGAGGTCGTTGCGGTCCTTTGGCTTCTTGAGACCACCGAAGGCCATCTTGGTACCGGGGATGTACTTCTTGGGGTTCTCGAGGTACTCGAACTGTGCTGTTATTAGCTGGTGGTCATGCCAGACTTGATTTGGAGCGGTGAGGTAAGCGTACTAGAGATTCCTCGTCCCAGGTGACACCCTTTGCCTTGTTGGCATCAGTGTATGAATAACCCTCAACCTGACCAGTCTTGCGGCCAAAGAGGCCGTGTAGCATGGGACCAATCTTGTTGCCTTCGCCCTCCTTCAAGGTGTGACATTGAGCACATCGGGTCTTGAAAAGGTTGGCACCCTTCTTGTGATCACCTGGTGATGTTTATTAGCACTTGAAAGATCTAGTCTTGAAATTTTGCCAGCCGCAAGATCAGCGATCGCTTCCTGTCGCAAAACCATGCGAAGGGCCAAATCTTCCCTTGAGCAGCTCAAAAAGCGGCGAACCATCCAGCAAACATGGCACGCTTCTTTTGCTCGCTGCACCTCTGTATGCGCGCGCTCAATGGGTGAAGAAGGCTGTGGCAAGAAGGAGAAAGCGGCCGATGACGTCCGTGGCTGTCATGGAAAAACGTACCGGCTTCGAACCCCATTTTGTCTGGTGGTGAATAATTCGAGGATGGAAAGATGGAGTAGAGTAGATGGGATTGTTGTAGGAGTGAAGATTGGGCGTAGCAGGTAAGGTTGATGACAGGTTGCTGAGGGAAGAAAAGTTTGGGTTGAGTGCTGGAAAGAAAAAGGCGACAACCCTTGGCGCTAGCCGCGATGAAATGACGGGGGCCCTGTGGACAGCACGGCCCAAGTGGGCTGGCCAATCAACGGCCGATAAATAGTCAGTGACAGAAGCCGTCGGGCAAAGCCGGTCCGGCCGTTCCTTGGAAAATGGCGGCGAATACGATCTCGATTGGAAACGTGTTGCTCTGTGAATGTCGTCTCGAATTTGACAAAAGGAGCTGGAACTCGGTCTCGTCGTTTTTGCCTCGCCACTTCGTGAAACCGCTCTCGGCGCATGTTAGGCACTCTCTTCTGTGCACATGTGATCACCTACATGGCTCCTGGCTCACACCGTTATACCCAACTATGGCCTCTCCTCATAGGTACGTATTGTACGTAGTTAGGTTAGTTACTCATTGTCGAACACAAACATCCGCTCGTGTTGTTCAAGAGAAATTCCTTGTATTTGTACACAAGTTCGGTGAATCATCTTTTTGGCTCCTATGCTGCTTTACCATACTGGTGCTATATGGGCCCTACCTTTGACCCAAAACGACATGTCGTGCCGAACAGTCATAAGGCCCAGGGTCTGTTCGGATGCATATCTGAGCCTACTATCTAACCCGGCATCGCCCAACTAATTCTGTATTCTACTCTGAGACCGTACTTGGATTATATTAGTTGAAGCAAGAAAACCTTCGCGGCGTTGTGCCCAGACGCAACACCTGACAGGATCCACAGGTACCGTACCACTCGCCGCTTGACATCATCGTTCCATACAATTGCCATCACCGTCCCGCCACACTTTACCCACAACAAGTCAAAGCCCCAGCCCAGTCTACCTACCATAATAACCCTCTCTCCACTAACCAGCACGGATGAACCAAATTCCGAACATCCTGTATGCCAATGAGGAACATACTACATGGCTGATTCTAGGCGCAAGTAGAGGCATTGGCCTAGAATTCGTGCGCCAGTTGTTGGCGAGAGATGAACATATCATTGCAACCGTGCGGGAGCCTTGGGCAGGCCATGCATCCGCCCTGTGGGGTCAGGCTGGGAGTGATCATGGACGGTGTCAAATGTATACTTGCGACATTCTGTCGGAGCAGAGTATAGAGGTATGTCTTTGCTCTACCTCCTTGTCGTCATTGATTATCATTCTTGCTAGCTTTGCTTCTTCTGCTGCTGCTGCTGCTGCGGCGGCGGCGGCGGCGATGAATACGTCCACGCAAGCTAACGCCAGGTTCATGCTTAGAAATTCGTCGCTCAGCTCGCCATGATACCCAATCTGAAAATTGACTATGTAGTACTTAATGCAGGTGTACTGAGATATCCGAATGTAGGTTCAGTATCCTATGCAAGAGTAAAGCGCCGCACTAATTGTTCCAGAGAGCCACTGAGTTGTATGTTCCCTTTCACAACCGTCAAGCTTTTCTTGTCATGGTTAAAGCGTGCACCTTCGCCTTTCTACCGCCCAGGATCTCTTGATACCTTTGGCAACAGGTACAAGTCACTGATGACTGCTATAGATCGTTCGATGAGTTCGCTTTCCACTTGCATACCAACACAATCGGGCCCATCATTACTGCTCAGAAGCTCCTCAAGACTAGCATTCCCATTGGCACCATGGTCTTCATGTCCAGTGACTCAGGGTCTCAGGGCAACTTTCGCGAGATGGAAGATGGGTTCGCGGCCTACGCTGCATCCAAAGCTGCGCTAAATATGGCTGTTCGACATATGGCGGCAGAGTTGAAGAGAGAGGATGACGATACCATTGTGCTGTGCATGCATCCGGGAGAGGTAGCAACGTGAGGATTATTCTTCCTGACCAATCTATCGCTGTTATGCTAATCCCCTTCTAGTGACATGGTGAATCTCCAACTATCATGGGAAGTGCAAGGTATCATCACACCAGAAGAGTCAGTATTGGGGATGATCGAAGTCATCAAGAGCAAGGGCATTCAGCATAGTGGAACGTTCTGGACATACGAGGACAAGGTATGTTTGCTATACTTGCCATGGAACATCCCTATTCTTCACTGCTGACTTTCAACCAGCCATATGTGTGGTAGTAGACTGTAACGAATTTACTCTATCTCATTTCTTTTCATTTTCATGTAATGATATACCTTAGTATACCCTTACTGTATGGCATACCTATGCACTCGTACTAGGATTATCCGTAGCTGAGAAGCCCATTTTCTGTCATAGGCCACTTACCCCTTGCAAGGATAGCTGTCATTCCGCGTTTGACGGATAGGCTGTTAACGAAGAGACATTGCTCAATATCCCAGTCCATCCATGTTGGCCCATTGGCAGGTTATAGTTGGAAGAGCTTTGTACTCCTTTACCACCGGCTCAGCTGTATAGTATGATGATTCTTGCTCATTTTCGAGTCCATCTTCTCGTTCCATCTTCCCTTTTGATAATAGAAGATATCTTCCTCTGCTCATCTGCGTCGTCTGGTCGTCCTCGAAAGTGGCTTTGACACATCTCTCTCTTTCGTCATGCGTGATAGGCGTCATGTAAACTTCATGAGAGTCAGAGATAGAGACAAAGCTTCCATTCTAGAGCTGGCCTTTTGCATCAAATACTTTAGCTGCCCCTCGGTTGGTACTGTCGGACTGGAACCTGCTTCGAATTGGCAGGTTCAGTTGTAGAAAATTCGAATATCCCTGCGTTGCTGGTACCCCAAGGGTGACTGAGTTACTATCGCGTATAATGTCATACTGTCTTGCCGCTTCTGCGACATTGCTAACAGATGTGAAGTCTGTGCGGGAAGATCGGCGTCGTGAAGGGCTTTGTAGTCTTTCTCTTTTAGTACAGTCCTCTCCAAGCATACCGTGCTTACGCTTTCCACGGTATACCAAAGTTGTCTTCATGTCCATCTCATAACTGTCCGACTTCGTCCTCACGTCATTATCCGCTGATTGCTCTTCTTTGATCACAGATTCGTCATCCATTTTTTTGACCTGGTGGTTTGATCTCATGTTCTCCTTCACACGCGTATCGCTACCATCAGGGTTGCCGTGATCTGGATGCAAAGACGTATCCGAACCGTGTTCCCCCTGTAACTCAGCCTTGATCGTTGATCCCATACCGTTCGGTAGTTTTTGACGATCCTTTTGAAACCGCTTTTCAAGCGCAATGTGGAATGGACAAAGCGGCAGGGAACAATGTTCTCTATGGTCCCACACATAGCGAGGTAGGTTAACCTTCACGCCGGGTGGGGGATGGGAATGCATATGTTTACACTTTCCCTGGTAACGCTGGCGATGATGACAAACACCATGGTGATAGTAGGAGAAGCAGATTTGGCGCTTGTGAGGTACGAATGACGCATATTGTAGCCTTGACAGCTCGGGTGCGAGAGCAGGTGGATGTTGAGCCCAGTCAGTTATGCCGCCTGGTCCTGGTTTGGGCGGAAGATGGTGTGAGGGATCTTCAAGCTGACTTATCCTCAATGACTCATTGGCAGTGCTGATAGTGTTGGTAGTAGGAGAAAGTACTGGTGAGTCTCGATGTGCGCGTTTTCGTTGTGTCACGGGTGAAGGCGAAGTGTGGCGACGCTTCGATATTGTTCTAGAGTAACAGAGCGACACAGCGGGGTCATCACTGTCATCACATGATATATCCATATCGCTTGAGCTGGCGTATTCCCGATCTGAAACAGAGCTAGAAACTGTTTCCTCAGCCATATCTTGCCGAGATATACTCTCTTCTTCATCAGTGTGAGCATGAATAGTAGATGTTGTACTCGCAAACGCTCCATCAACTTACCTCCAGGTCCTAGCTTCTTCCGATGTTTTCCATCCTGATCATGGAGTAATACAGAATCACTCCTCAACGGACAGAATTGCAGTTGACACGGCACGAAGTGTGTGAAGCCGGGTGGCGCTACGATGGGCAATGCAATGTCCATGTTGTGTTCAAATTGACACCTGTCAACGTTGCTACATTGGCCGTGGTACCAGAAGAAACATGTTCCCTTCGGCTCATCTGTTTGGCTAGGAGAGGGAGAATGCATGTTGTTGGTGTCATTGGTCGTGCAAATGGGTGAGGCCATCGTTGACTGCAGTGTTGATTCAGAGGCGCTGTGTTTGGAATGATTCCAAAACTCTGAAAAGTCGCGGGCGCCATCTTGATCTGTGTTCTGGGGAAAAGTGCGGTCGCGCATTGTGGGAGAATCTGACTGAAAAACCTGCAGATTTGGGTTGTTTTGGAAGTGGAAGCAGCGTTTGGAGGGCTTATAGGTAGCATACACACAGCACGGACCATTAGTGCGATACTGGTAGGGCAACAGCAGAGGCTCATCAGGTTCCACTGATGGTGACGGTGAATCAAGAGGTGAAGGGAGATTGTTCAATATGTGATCTAGCGTTTTGTTGTGGCGAGAGGAAATTACTCGATACAGAGTGATAAGACGATAGGCAATGCCTCATATCAATACAAATGAACTACCATAATCTTCCCATGATATTCGAAACAACCACCGAAGCAACTTTTACTGAAACGAAAAGAACCACGCCCATTGCCACCACACCTGCACCAAACATCTTCAAATTCCTCATCTCGATGCTGGAGGTCTTCAGCTTCCTCTCACCGATGTCGCCCAAGTTAGTCAACGTGTCGTACTGCGGTACATACTTGAAATCGAAGTTTGTCTCCGCGCCCGCAAGACCCCACTTGGCCTTGACGATGACGTGCCAAAAGATCTCCTTAGCACGATCGATCCGCTGCTTATCCCAATTTGGGAAGAGCCGATAGGTATAGCAGTACACCATGAAGAAGAGGCATTGGCCAGCCATGAGTGACCAGTAGTATAAAGATACCTGCTTAAGACCCAACTGGTCGCACAGTTCGTTGCCATTGAGCCAACGCGCACTGGCAGTCAGCATATCTGCTGAAACGAAAGTTGGTGGTTCCTCTTTCAGCGCGTAGATGATGTTGTTGGCCATAGTCTTGGACATGTCTGAAGGCTTGACTTCATAATACAGCAGTGACTCCATGATAGCCTTTGCCTTATTTGGCGAGGAAAACCAGTCGTCTGGTGTACCCATGATATATGCAATGTAACGCCACAATGCGAGGTAGTCCTCAATTTCTTGCTGGTGTAGGTAAATGCCCTGACGTGGGAAGCTCAGCCAGATCAAGGTCGCAGAAAACGTGCTAATTGTACCAATGGAGTCCAGGTCATTGATGGGAACGCCCCAATCTGCAACTTTGAAGTACTCTGGCCGTGACTTTGCTAATTTCATGATCCGTTGACGGACTGCGGCATGTAGAAAACGGACGCGCACTGACGACGCATGTCCTTCTCCACCTGGTTTAATTCCCTCTAGAGATCGTGTACATTGGAGAATGTGCTGCGTGGTTTCAAAAAGTCGTCCTCTTGCTACCTTTGTGCTGAATCCTCCGGTTCGGGCCAGTGTTTCAACCACTCGTGCAGCTCCCATACCACCCAGTAGTGATTGGTAGGTGAGTCCAACAAAAGCTGGACCCCCATATCGATAGAATACGTTCTGTCCTCTTTCGATTTGTTCCCAATCTACCCACTCTGGGACTGTCTGTATCTGTTGCCACAACTCATCAAGCTTCGCATCGATTGCGTGATGCTCTTCAAGGAGAGCGTAAAGATCCCGCTTGAGTAGCGTTAGTGGTTCTTTCTTCTGGTCTTCTGTTTCATGTATCAATGGTACTGTTATTCTTTCATTATTATTTCGTGGTAGTGTTCCTGGTGCTGGTGGAGAGATGACATTCAGTCGGTCTAGACACTCTTCTCCCAATACGTCATAGGAATGCTTCAAAGGCTCGGACTGTTCAGGAGTGATATGTCCGTCCGTCCATTCGAACTCGTAGCCCCAGCAACTGTTGTGGTTTAGTGTTCATCAGGAGATTAGTCGTCCGGATGTGGACGTACGTCGTAGTATTCTTGGTGCGTCTGCGGAAAAGATTGGGCCACGTCATAATAACGGAAACAGACTTCTAAGAAAACAGAGAGTTCCCGAATGGCTCACTTATTTCAACGCTTGTAAACAAAAGAACAAAAGAACAAGAGAATCAGGATGCATACCAGGAAATGAAGAGCAGGCCATCATCGGATACCGAGGCGCTAAGAAACCATGTGAGATGCGAGGATCTACCCTCCTCTGATTTGCCGCCTCATCGGAACGATTAGAAAATGCTATCATGCCGGACCAAGATCGAGAGCTACATCCAAATGCTGTCATACACATACATGGTTATGGCAATTGTTAGTGCTGAGATGACTGTTTGACATTTTGTCGTTGATGTCACCGAGCAGGCTAGGTAAATTGTAGCTGCCGCTTGTGGCGTTTTGGCGTTGGAAAGCACGGACGAACTACTGGCTTGAGACTTCATCCAAGTTGAGACGTGGATTTTTGAAGAACAACAACGCAAGATGCATTGCAACAACTGTGCACGAAAGACGCTGAGTCTGTTCATCCGGTCTTTCACAAAACCAGAGCCAGGGGTTGGATTGCAACAGCATACTCTTCGATCTTCGCAGCCATTGCGATTCTTCTCAGACCACGGCCGAAATAGACCACCACTTTCCTCATCCCGTCCCGATGATGCTTTTTCCCGGACCCAGAGCCCAAGGGCCTTCGCTCCCGCAAGAAATGACCGGCTGCTGAAAAAGCCAGCCAAAGACTCATTTCCCGACAATATCGACACTATCGCCGAAGACCCCCTCTCCCCACAATCCTTCGAACCCCGCAAACCAGACTGGCGCGCCCAAAAAGCTGCCTTGAAAGCCAAACTCAATGGCGAAGCCTGGAACCCCCGCAAAAAACTATCCCCAGATACCATGGAAGGCATTCGCCACCTCAACGCCACACAACCCTCAAGATTTACAACGCCCGTCCTCGCCGAGCACTTCAAAGTCTCCTCAGAGGCCATCCGTCGCATACTCAAAGGGAAATGGCGACCGAATGACGAGGAGTACGAGGATAGGATGCGAAGATGGGATAAGAGAGGAGAGCGGATTTGGAGTAACTTGGTGGAGATGGGGGTCAAGCCACCGAAGAAGTGGAGAGAAATGGGTATTGGGAGAGCGACTGAAGGAGAGAGGCCGTTGTGGAAGGGGAGGAGACATATAGGCGCAAATGTGGGGCCTCATGCGAGTGGAGAGAGGTGGGCGGATATCGCAAAAGAACATGACGTGGAGAGTTTGATTCCGATCGTGGATGGGAAGGGGAGAAAGGTGAAGGGAGTTGTCCTGCCGCTCTCCGCGAGGATCTAAAGGCGCAGAGACAGGTTTAGCATGGTGGAAATTTCGACTCGGAATGCGAGTCACAAGAGCGTCATGGTTTTTCATACTGGTATACCGAATGGCACATTGGGGTTTTAGCAATGAACTTCTTAAATGACCAATTGAACCCTGACATACAGAAAGCCCATCCGCCAAGTGACGAAGCTCTCGCATACGAAAGCTGTCGTTTTGTTACCTCCCAGAAGCACGAACGGCTTACAGAAATCAAGATCCACGAAACGTGCTGAAGTTATCACATCTTTATAACAGATAGGAACCGTCACACGGAGTATACCTCTGTGCATGACCGTGGTTGAGATGCCAAATAAAATCAACAAAACATAATAAGGAAATGACAGTAGTGACAACGAAGTCCGATCGTCGTGAAGATATCGATCCAATATACGACGGCGACGGTGCATGGTTCGCAAGATACGGCGTATATGGCGATGATGACTGGCTGAGCGTGGAAGCATCGTAAATATAATGTGTGGTTATGGCGAAACAAATGCCAACGGTAGACTTGGCCTACCTGCCACCCTTTTTGAACAGCTCCAAAGTGTCGACCGGAGTATGCTTAATTTCGTCACGGCGAATTTGTTCCGTCATCTGCTCGCCGGTAAGGTCCGTGTTGGATGCACGGCTGGTCTCAATATATGCTTCACCAGTGAAGAGGATATGCAGATTGATCCAAGTAGGAATGGCTTTCACCACCATCTTCGACTTCTTTGCATCGAACAAATCGTGAGATAGGTCAACCTGCAGGCGTTTGATGTACGCGGTCCACTTCTCCTCCTCTTTACGTGCCCACTTCTTACTGAGATCCCTGGTTGTTGATTGCTTCTCCAGGATCAAAGTGAGGGAAGCCAAACCGCGGTAATAGTTCTTGATCACATTGTATCCACCATTAAGGAGCCAACGAAGATCGTAGACGCTATGAATACGGATGATGAGCTTTGTGACGAGGCGCTGGCATCTAGAGGGAAACAGGCGCACGCTGTAGTCAGGGGGCGGTGCAAGTTCATTGGTCGGCTTGATAATCTCAAAGTCATTCTGACTGTAGAGGACAGCCTTGGCTTCAGCATGGACCTCCTTGTTCACACCTAGGATGTTGATGTTGGTGGTGCTGAAGCGGGAAAACCGGATTTTGAAGCCATCCACGGTGATCTGGGCGAGAGCATAGGCAAGACCGGAAAGAAGCTCACGACGCTCAGTTTACAAGAAGGCTTTTTTCTCGTCGTGGTATACTGTGTGCTTCTGGCGGACACAGATGATGGCTGGAACAACGAGGAGATGCCAGTATATTTGGTTGCGGACAGCAGTCGGGAGCTTCAAGAATGGAAACGGGTTCCTGGCTGCAGCAGGAATATCGAGGGCGAGAGCGAGATCCACGAAGGGATCCTCCTCAAAAATACCATTCTCAGAAGCAATTAAGGTTACAGTCGCATCTGTTGATACAGAAAGGCGCAAGAATAAAAGTGATGCATAAAGATTTCACGCCTCCAGAGAAATTCGTTTAGACGAGAGAAGAATAAAACAACAAATAAGTGACTTTGAAAGTGCTGTACCTATATATATGCAATCTCAACGGAGTGGTTCGTGACTAATGATAACTTCGCTAAGAAGTCCAAAATATGAAGACTAATTAGAGCAGACCTATGCTATTACTATACCTTGGATGACCATCACATAATGGTGTCCAGATATTGATTCCTAAACGACTGAAATCGTTCATCGTCAAGCAGTGCTGTTGTTAACTGCGTCTTCCAGTTTTACAACCCGCCTAATGGTACTCCTGCTGCAGGTTACCATGTGTATCTGTCAGACCCTAACAAGATTTGCAATATGACTCTCATTAAAATGAAGGCGAATGTAAAAGTATACATTCAGTTTCCCGCAAGTTTTCATTATTTTGAAGTCGTGGTGAAGACTTCACGTCCCATTCTAGCCTAGCGTCTTCCGGTGCCGAGCCGGGGGGGGGAGAAACCTCAATCGCAACATGCTCAACTCACAATACCCGCGCTCCGAACGTTCACCCATCCCGCAATCCATCTCCTCTCTGCCCAGGATGTCTGCCGCCCGCGCATTTTCCACTGCTTTCCGAGCAGGCGCCACCCGCGCCCCAATGGCTGCCCGCTTCGCTGCGTCTAGGAGCTACGCTGCTGCCGCTGCTCCGGCCACCAGCTCCGCCAACAAGCCGCCTATTGCTCTCTTCGGTGTCGATGGAACTTATGCGAGTGCACTGGTACGCATTCCGAAAACCCAATTGGTGTTGTGGCGATGGAATAGCGGATGAAAAAGAATGGGGACAATGCATGGATATCGGGAGGGTAGCTAGGCTAACAATTTACCGGGTAGTACACTGCGGCCACCAAGACCAACGCTCTCGACCCAACCGCGAAATCTCTCGAGGAGCTCTCCAGTGTATTCAAGCGGGACCCCAAGCTTACCGAGATCCTGAACGCTCCCGCTCTCTCCGTCGCGGACAAGCACCAGATCGTCCAGGAACTTCAGAAGCACATTGGCAGCCAGGACAAGGAGGGTATCGTCAAGAACCTGCTGACCACCCTCGCCGAGAACAACAGATTGGGCGCACTTCCCGGTGTTGTGACCAAGTTTAGTGAACTCATGGGCGCCCACCGGGGAGAGGTTGAGCTGGTGGTTACCAGCGCTGCGCCGCTTGACAACAGGACGCTCGGCCGTCTGGAAAACGCCATTGTCAAGTCGGATTACGTGCAAAAGGGCCAGACGGTCAAGGTTGTACCTAAGGTCAACCCCGAGATTCGTGGCGGAGTCATTGTTGAGATTGCCGACCGTACCATTGATCTCTCCATCTCGTCCAAGATGGCCAAAATGAACAAGCTGCTCAAGGATGCCTTGTAAATATACATAGCCAACGAGTATTTGACAGCGATGTAGGGGGTGGAGCCGTGTATACTAGATGAGTCTTGAGAAGAACAAATTCATTACATGTGTCCACACATTTCCGTTCTCTCGTCAGTCTTTCTGCAGACTACCCCTTCCTTGCAAAACCATATCGCATAGCATATATGAGGCACCCATTGAATTTTCGAGCCACAAATTTACATGTGAATCGATTGCACATGACATGGATGACGAACACATTGTAATTGTTGCGTGTTTTCCGTCTACACGGAGAGCGATTTGGAGCAGGATGTTTGTTAAACGAATACGGGGTTCCCATTCCTTAGACAAAATATTATTTGCGTGATATTTCTTCAGATGATGCGTAATGTGCAGTAAGTTTGCTCGAGACGTATTCATGCTGATTTCAGCCATTAAGTTAGTTTACAATAATTACGGCCATGATCAACTTGCCATCTACACAACCCCACTTCTACAGCCATGCTTAGGAAGCCCGCTATACAGATGCCTCCTGAATCACTTACACTGGTGGCTCCCAGACTAAATTCTCTATCCTCCTTGGCCACATTATCGGTAATCTCCGCAAAGGTACTTACATAGACCAGCCCACCCAAGAGACCTTCCCAGAATATGGTGGCGCATATGATGTAGTAGCTGGGTATGAAGTCGAACATTGCGTGGAGTGTGAGTAGAGCCAAGTTGGCGACCTGTAGGAAAGAGGGCAGGTAGAGATTGTGGATGCGAATGAAGGGCGTAGAAGAGCGGGAGATGAAGACGCCGACTTGATAAATAGCGCCATAAGTGCTGTAGAAAGAGCGATATTCGGTAAAGGGGGACGAGGCGAGAGGAAAGAGGAGGGTAGGTGCAACACCTTGATTGATGGTGTATTCGGCAATGTATACGAGAAGGAGTGGCAGCATACTAGGATGCGTTAGATGTGCAGGTAAAAAGGTAGATATAGACACGTACTAGGGGAAGAAGAGGCCTTGGGCGCGATGAAGGTTATGCTTGAAGCTGTCGAGGGCTCCACCGGCTCTCTGTTTGGCGAATACAGAGCTGCGTCCAGAAGCACAGTGGACAGAGGTCGACAACAGCCCTTCTTGCTCTGGCTCTGAAGCAACAGTATCATCGGCTTCTTCCTCCTGGACTTCATCGGCTATAGCTTCGTAGCCATCTTTCTTCACAGTGCCAGCCCGTAGCGGACCGAGTGGCAGAACCAAGAAGAAGCTTACTACCATGACCAGTGGGAGGAACGAGAAGACCAGCAGACTCGTCCGAGGGGTAATGCGAAGGGTGTTTGTTGCAATGGCATAGGCTCCTGCCCCGATCAGGCCAGCACCCCCTGTACCGGAACCCCAGGAGGCAAGAGCAAAGTGTCCATAGTAGTGGGTGAGCCCCAAGAAGCTGAGTTCACCACCACCACTGCTCAAGGATGCTAGCATGACGCCGCACATTTTGATTGTGATTGTGGTCGAGTCCTGCAGAGGGGGTGTGAGGGCGATGGTGAGCATGCCACAAGCCGACAGCGCCACAAAGAAAAGGATGCGAACATGGTATGGGATTTTGTGGATGAAGTATGGAGCGCATAGCTTGGCGAGGAAGGACGGTATAACGTCTGCGAGGAGGACGACACCTTTGGGCACGTTGGGACCGACGAGGTCGAGGGCAGCAGAGAGGATGATGACGTAGAGGACGTTGTTGATGAGACCTAGGCATGATTTCAGTCACCGTTGGTACATGTACAAGACATGGCGCTGCTAACGCCTGCGCTCGACTCCAGATGTCGAGTGTGTACAATACAAGCGCACACTCGTTGGCTGGAGATGGTGCTGCCGAGTCTGTACCTACCGAACAACCAAAAGGCTGCACACACGCGTGCATCTGCACCGTCGAAGAGCGCTTTCAGCCGAGCACGATAAACTGCCCACGAGGAGGCTGGAGAGCCAGGCATGGGAAGGCGGGGCATGTTAGATTACTGCTATCACCCACATACTGGACGGTTGATGCAGAGGCACTTTGTTGGGGCAGGCGGGCGAGAGCAGCTGGACGACGGTTGATGGCACGTGAGAATGATGATGGACTGGATCATGGGATCATGGGAATGGATGGATGGATGGATGGATGGATGGATGGATGGATGGATGGAGCCCGGCCCTGGCCTGGGCCAGCTGGGCGACCCGTGGACAGGCCGGGCAGGACCAGGGCTGATGTGCGATCGTCTTGGCGGCTGGATACTCTCTGAGTCGACGTCTCTGACTCTGTACCGACTAGCTAGGTACTCTGTAATGGCACATGGTAGCATACTTGGTAGGTAGTCACCACGGAGTCTAGTAGTACGTTGCATGGCTCCAAGGCCATGTACATACATAAGTAGGACATGGACATTGTAACGGTATACTGTACACAGTAGGTAGTACCTAGTGTGTAGGAAAGGCGGTCAAGCGATGCAGCGACAATTCAGGAACGCTGCATGCATGTGCCCAGGTGGGCTCTGGCAGGCCAGTTAGTCCTTCCGACGCCCGCTCCCATGATCCATGGAACATGCTTTTACCCTCTGCAGCATGCCGTAGGACACCAAAGCATACACCTACCTAGACGTACACTTCACAAATGAACAGCGAACGGCGCAGCTACTCTACCTACCCTCTACCTACTCTACTACCACGTATCTCCCCGTCTACTTGCCTAGCCCTGGTGACGGACGGGCTCTACGCTCGTTGCAGCCTGAACAGAGTACAGATGTACAGATGTACTTGTACTTTTCCTCCAAGAGTGTACTACGGTGCTACCTATAGTAGACGACATTAGTACAGTAGTTTGGGGGGAAGAGGGGAGGGGGCATGTCCTTGATGCGGGGCTGAAGCAGGGGTGTGCAAGTGATCTTGCGGCAGGTAAGCCAAAAGATTCCGCGCGCTTGGATCTTGGACTATACGCGAACTCGTCTTCTCGCATTCTCCACCTTTCTTCCCTTTTCTAGTTTTCCTGCGCGCGCATTTGTCTATGTGAGCGAGAGAGAGAGAGTGCGTGTGTGTACATGGAGAGAGACATGGTGTTCGTTGTCTCATGATTGTTCATCGAGCTTAACTATCATCCCATCTCTCAGCCTGTTTTTCCTCGGCCCTCACTTCACGCCCCATCGAACACATACAGACCAGACCTACCTACATGAACTACCGACGAGACTCTGTTTATCCGTCGTAGCATCATGCATTGCCAGCCTGCGCCGCCGCCCTTCCCACGACCGTCCGATCGCCCCATGATGCAGAACCAAAATCACCACCCATCCCCGACGCAGTCATACAGCGGGCACCCTTCCTCGACGACGCAGACCCAGCAGTCGCACCACGCTCCCTTCGCAGCCGATCAGCACACCGGGCCTCAACGAGATGCCTTCTTCGCGACCGCCGCCCAACACGTGCGACGGAGCAGCCAAGAAGCGCCTGGCGCAGACGACCCACGGCAACAAAGCCAGAGTGAAGGACGAGGCCAAGGTGGTTGGCCCAACACAGGTACGGACGATTGCATTCTTCACGTCTCGCAGAGGCATTGTGGCAAGCACTGCGGCGTCCCTTGGGGACTCCTAGGAAAACACAATGGCGAGCGACGAGTCGCTGTTGGCATCTGCGATGCATGCTGCCTGCGTGACACGTCGACGGCGGTAGAAGCTTTGGAGACAGGCGTATGGCACAGTAGTGGCTGGCCAGGGCCCTTACTCCACACTTCACCGCCTGTTGCGACACCTGCACCAGTCCTGCCACGCAAATGCTGGCAACGGCTCCCACTTGTGCCACGCCCGCCTCCATTTCGCACCGCCATCATTACAAGCTGGTTCTGGATGCGCACATGGGTGATGGCTGTGTGCACATAGTGTGTGCGCATCTTGTTTGCTGGCATGCAACGAATTTCAAGAGGGCCGCCGTCTCCGCATGTGTTTCGCCTGGCTAATACAAAGACCCCCACCCACCTGCGTTAAACCGCATTGGAACAAGGGCGACGGGCTGATCGATCCATCTAGCGCGCCCCAACCACGGGATCCCTCATGTTGCCCAGCATCATGCTCAGTCTTCTGGTCTGCCGCCGCCGCCGCCATCCATGACCGCCTCCAACCATCCTCCGCCTCCATCGCCATACGGCTACGATGCTGCGCGACGACGCTCGCTCACAGGAGGTAGCCCGCCAAACCCCTATGGTGAAGCCCCCCTCTCCCCTCTCCCCTCTCCCCTCTCCTCTCCCCTCCCGCCCGCTTCCATATCCCGGTTTCAAGCTTTGTCGCGAGCTAACACGCCGTGTAGCCTCACCTCACGATCCTCCGCCCCCTCCTTCCTTTGCGCGACCGCAAATGCCACCACCCTCATCGCCTCCGCAGCAGCAGCAGCAGCAGCAGCAGCCGCTTCACGCGTCGCAAGCGCAGCGCCCGCCCTACGCATCCAACTTTGGCGCCAACCGAGACCTCCCGGGCCTGGGCCAGGCGATGCGACCAGGGAGCAGTATGTCCATTTCGAGTCTGATTGGCGGCGGTGACACAGTTGCGCCCGGCCAGGCGTCACAATCACAGCCGTCACCTCCCACAAACGCATCTTCGTTGAACAGTCACAGCATGCAGCCTCCGTCGCCTCGACGCAGCTTGTTGTCGGGACCGCGGTCAGAGTTCGCTCCCTTCAGACGCCAGCCATCGCCCGATCGCAATAACATGTACGGAGCCAACCCCTCCAAACCTTCTGATGCCCACAGCTTTCCCGGTGGCTCGCCCCGGTCGTACAGCAACCAGGCATCTCCGGACCCAGGCCGTCAGTCGTTACCTCCCTCTTATACCCCCTACAAGCTTTTCGGCCAGTCCATCTCGCGTGAGTACCCGTCAGGCGGTGCGGGGCAACGCCCTTCTGGCAGTACACCTCCTCGGCCGAACAGCCAGCCCACAGGCCCACCAGAAACGCGAGAGCAAGAGCGAAGACCGAACTTCGACGGCTTAAGAGGACGTCGCGGCGCGTACGAACCCCTGGAAGAGCGCCGACGGACGCTGGGAGAGTCTCACCATGCGAGACCCAATGCTGCTGAGCCCTTGGCCGGTGGGCAGAGTAACACAGAAAGAGACCGACCTGTCACTGTACATCCCGTATCGCAAAACGTCTTTGGACCACCTGCCGAGGACCACAGAACGTCCGGGTCAACCGAGCCACCACGAGGTCCTTGGCGAGAGGCTCTGCGCGAGGCAATCAATCATCGTCGAGAGGAGCCTTCATCAATCCATCGTGCCTACGGCCAATACCCCTCTCCCGCGCTCGGGGCTCCACGCTATGGTGGTCCGGGCCCTGAAGACGTGCTACGAGGGCGTAGTGTAGATCATCTGAGCAACCGCGTCGTCGAGCAATATCATGCGCCTCCTACATCAGATCCGACGTCGACTGAGCGTCATCGCACCGAGCCTCTATCCCGCTCTTTGTCCTCAGGTGGGCGATCCTTGTTTGATCAGCCGCAGAGGATGGGTGAGGCTATGCAACAATCGAAATCCCACATTGGATTTGGCTTAGACGCTAGCCGACGAACTGGACGTGCTTCTCCCTTGCCACAGGCTGTGCAAGGTGCCCAGGCACAGCCCATGATGAGTGGAAAAGATCCTGGTATCAAGAGCGAGTTTGGTCGGATGTTTTCCGGCCTGGGCAGTGGTCTGGGCTGTTCCACGCCATCGCGTGGCAGTCCACTACCACAAAACGGTTCAGGCTCATTCTCTCATGACACAGAGTCTGATGTACACAGGGTCCAAAGAGTCAACTCACAACAGGGCCGAAAGACAAAACGTATCAAGGACGAAGAAGGCATCTTCGATGTCGATAGCAATGATGGAAGAGGGACCACTCCCTCAGGCACTCGTGGTGTTAAGCGGAACAAACATCACCACCATACACCGCACCATCAGTACGTTGCTCCCCCCTCCCATTTTGCGCATAAAAGCTAACATTTAACATGAGCAGTCACCACCATCACCATCATCACCCTAAGCCAGATGAGGAGGTGAACCTTTCCACGAGTTCTACTCCACTTAATGGAAGACAGCCGGGCCTTGCACAGACGGGTGCTAGTCAGCCAATACACCATCACCACCACATACAAGGGACGCCTCATCACCATCACCACCATCATGTACCCCGGGGCAACCAGTCATCCGTCCCTGCTGCGAAGATGGCGGTCAAAGTACACGATGTGCAGCCTGTTCTCGATGAAGCTGCTAAGAAGCCTCGTAGACATCTTGGATCACATTTGTACGAGGCTTCCACCAGGTTACCTAGACCCAATTCGTCGGTGGATGATCAGTTCGGCTATGCATCGAAGCCGAAGCGACTGCCACGCTTCCATGCCGACCCGATCAATTGCACGTTTACCATCAGAGTACCCAGATTCTACCTCAAGCCTCGCCAACGCCAGCACATTGTTCTGGAACGCCATCTCTGGGGCGCACGCATTTACCGAGATGATTCGGATCCTATTGCAGCTGCGATACACTCTGGTTGGATCAGAGGGGAGTGGGATGAGACGGTCGATGTTTCGATGCTGGACCCGCGCATCACTGCCCCGAATGACCCAAGTGATGCCGAGGAAACGCTCACAAAGGTGCCGGCCGCCCCTGTAACCCCTCCCGCAGACATGGACTTGCAAATCGAGATTCTCATCCTCCCTCAACTCCAAAAGTACACTGGATCGGTCGAGTATGGCATCTCAAGCAGGAAAAGTACAGGCCACGAAGGCCTCAGCTTCATGATCAATAAGATTCGATGGGTAGAAGATGGCATTGGAAGTCGCGGTCAAGAGCGTACTGCCGCAGCTCTGAAGCGTCGTCTTGATGCAAGTGCAACGCTGCTCGCGTTGCAGAGTGGAGTAGACGACAACATGCGCTTCAGCAACATGGCGAGACTACACGCATGAAGACGTTTTTGTAGTTTTGTTCATCTGATCACGGCCGATTTCTCTAGATGATGGCGCGCATGTCTCGATTTTGTAGCAACCGGATGACCTACTTTAGCATAGCTAGATACCCGCATATTTTGAGCTCGAACATTTGGCACGAGGTTTTGCACATGACATGGGCATTTGCATGTAGGTAGCGATGGAATTTCGGTACTATATTCGAGCGCGTTACCATGACTGATTAAGTTTTTCGAAAATAATCTGAGAAGGACAGAAAAGAAAAGCATGAAAGAAAAGTAGACACAGGACTGCATGGAAACGCAGAGGGGGTTATATTCAAGCCAAGCCAGCCCAGGGAACATGGAGATGGGTGAATGTAATGCCCGTGGTGAAGATGACAGCATGTGCAGGCACGTAGCGAAGGTATGATAAGGGGCGTGGGTGGTTGACGCGATAAGGCAGGCGAGCCGCGACGAGAAGCTTGCAAACAGGGATCGAGCTTCTGCAACTTGGTTTTACAAAATCTAGAAAGAGCACTCCTGTCGTACTTACCTCACGACCTGCCGGTACATAGCGGTAATCTCTCATCTCAGAGCAGTGCACACCATCCTACCATTTTCCTTTCTCTTTTTCCTTCCCTCTTTCTTTGACCACCACTCTACGACGACTCGTCCGCTGTGTTCAGCTGGAATCCACACTCAGTCTATCAGGAGAATCACTGCCCCTCCCCCACCACTGTACAACGTGATCACGACGGGTGGAGGTCTGGTACGTCAGCCCTACCAAAAGGCCACCAGATTAGGGAATCCCAGTAGGTAGCGTAGCCAACATGGGGGGGCATGCCAGGACATACTCCATCTCCACGGTAAGAGGATTTTTTCTTTCTTTCACTTCACTTCATCTTATCTTACTTGCTTCATTTTGTTTGGAGTACTTTGTGTGCACCTATTTGTCGCGGCAACATGGCGGCGGCACCTTGGCCGCTTCCGTGCCGACTGGCGTGGAGCCCTGTTGTATCGCCTGCATCGGTTAGTACAGGATGCGATACAAGACGGCATCGGCCTTCCGGCATTCGGCGGCTCAAGGAAAGGCCCTCTTTGGTTTTGACTCTTGAGAGTACAATACGTGCACTAGGAGGCCCCGTGTCGTCACTGCCAGACAAGTAGCGGCACTGGACTACTCCATGGGCACCATGGCCTCATGGCACACGACCAGAAAACATCTAGCATCACCAAACGCGCCAAGTTGCTCTGCTGTCTGTGTCTCTCTCTTTTTGCAATAGGTTCAGCTGTCCGGAACACGACTTGGTAGCTGCAGCCTCCAACGCGTTGATCGCATCGACACACACCCCACTGCCGGCCAGGCGGAACACTTCAGTGCCAGCCCCCAACGCCTGTTGTCGAATGAGGTTCGGCCATTACGATTGCTCCACCCAGCCTTTTAGCTTGGAACCGCATCCCGAACGCTTGTGAAAACAAGGACGCCGCTCCAAATGCGGGGAATTGGCCAACGTCAAGCTACAATCTACCTACTCTCGCTTCTCCAACGCCGAGCCGCATCTACCATTGCAGGCCGACAGCAACAGCAGATTTCCTCGCCCCGCGCGCTGCTACAGCACAACTACCTCGTCGTTCTAGCTGCTCCAGGGCCTCTTCCATTGCTACATTTTCCGTTGACCATCTAGCCTGTCTCTCGCTGCACAGCTGGTTAAAAGCCGCCCTTCAGCGCTATACCTCGGGAACCTTTCGTCTGGCCACCGAGCCGTAGTACCTATCTTGTTACTATTTCCTTGTTATCTTTCGCAATACCCACTACCTCGTGTCCGCATCGCAGTCGCCGCGCACAATGACAGAGTCTAACGGCTTCCATGCGCCAAACATGCGCGCAGTACCCGCTGGTGAATTTGTGAGACCAAGCAGAAAGACTAATGGCGCTGGTGTACAGGCCGAAGATACGCGGATATGCGTTGTGATGGTGGGCTTGCCAGCTCGGGGCAAGAGTTTGATTGCGCAGAAAGGTATGCCACACTTTCCTAGCACAACTCGCTCTGGCTAAGTGAATGCGACGTAGTCGTTCGCTACCTCCACTGGCTATCGATCAAGTCGAAGACGTTCAACGTTGGCCAGTATCGCCGCACTGCGACCCCAAACCCATCCGCCGAGTTCTTTGACACTTCGAATCCTGAGGGAGAGCGTTTACGGAAAGCCGCCGCCGAAGCCGCCGTCAACGACATGTGCAAATGGTTCTCTGAGGGCAAAGGACTCATCGCGATATTGGACGCCACAAATTCGACCAAGAGTCGTCGCAGGTGGATACAAGAGAGATGCAGTGCGGAGAACATCGAGACGCTGTTTGTAGAGTCCAAGTGCGACGACGAGGATCTTATCATGAGCAACATTCTCGAAGTCAAGACAACGTCACCAGATTATGTTGGTCAGGACCCAGAGGAAGCCGCAGCAGACTTCCGAAACCGCATTCGCAACTACGAGAAGGTGTACCAGACGATCGACGAGGACGAGCGCGATCTCACCTATGTCAAGTTGATCGATGTGGGCAAACAAGTCATCATCAACCAGATCCAGGACTACCTACAAAGTAGAGTGGTCTATTACTTGATGAATCTGCACATCAAGCCACGGTCGATCTGGTTGTCAAGGGTAGGTTGAATTTTATGCGCCTTGCACAGTATATATGTTGACCGTCACAGCACGGCGAATCAGCATACAATCTTTCAGGACAGATTGGAGGTGATGCCGATTTGTCCGAGCGCGGAGATGCTTACGCTCACGCTCTTCCCGGTCTCGTTGCCAAATCTGTTGGTGATGGCCGCAAACTCACAGTCTGGACGTCTACACTGAAACGCACGATCCAGACGGCACGATTCCTCACATTCGAGAAGCTTGAATGGAAAGCTCTCGATGAGCTCGACTCTGGAGTCTGTGACGGTCTGACATATGCTCAGATTGAGCAAAAGTACCCCGAGGACTTCGTACAGCGCGACGAAGACAAGTACAATTACCGCTATCTCGGCGGTGAATCGTACCGCGACGTAGTCATTCGATTGGAGCCCATTATCATGGAGCTCGAACGTAGCGAAAATATCTTGATCGTCACCCATCAGGCGATATTAAGATGCATCTACGCGTATTTCATGAACGTCCCGCAAGAACAGAGTCCATGGATGGAGGTACCGCTACATACCTTGATCAAGTTGACGCCCAAGGCGTACTCGACACAAGAAGAGAGACTGAAGGCCGACATACCGGCCGTCAGCACATGGCGAGGTAAGGGAAGCAAGGCTGAACATCAGCAAGCGGACGGCAGTACATAGCCTGACGTCACCACCAGCTCCGGGGGATCACACATGACCGCACCACCCCCCCGGAGGAGGGAGTGGGGATACGTTGGAAGACAAACGGTCACAACCCTTAGCAAAATCACAAAACGTCCTGGATGTAGAAGCAGAAGAAGAGGGTCAATGAATAAGGGAGATCATCAGCGTAACAGGGAGTGCACAACTTTAACGAAATTCGAAGTATTGATAGAAAAAGGAACGATCAAGGCATATGGTCAGGCCACATGGTGTATAGACGGCATTTTCTCCGCTTAGAGATTTCCATACCACTGGCATACAGCTCAAGACTCAATAGCATAACAGCTACTAGCTATTCGGAGACAGACCAGAGAGTATTGACTCCTTAGTCATGCTCACAAAGACTAGCTGCCCAGAAAGATAAGCTTGACCCTCGCAATAGTGGCAACTGTACATTGCAGACGAAAAGATGCTGTTGTGAGTGAGCTTCGCAGGAGATCTAAGGCTCCCCTAGTTAGTTCCTGAAGCTGCATGCATGGAGCCATGGGCGGAGCGATTCGTATGCCGAACAGATCATTCAAATCGAGTCTGGCGTCGCTCTCAGGCAGTTCGAAGACGCGGACCAAGCCTCCCCCGCTGCTTGGAATAAGGTACGTAACCTTGCTTAACAAGTCGAGCTGGAGAGTAGTCTCCTTGTAAGTCTGCCTGCAAGCTTGGAAGTCCACATGCTGCACCGCAAAATCCGACCAGCCCTATGACGTAGTTGATACGCAGGGCAGCTCATCACCCCTCTCTTCTTGTCTGCTGCCTCTTCCTCCTCTCACAGCGATCCCGGACCCAACAACCCACTTTACTTCTTTACTTCCTTACTTGTTTACTACGGCAGCTGTAAACTCTTGCATTGCAAAACTCTTTTTCTTTATAAAAACACAATTCATCGACAGCAAGAGAAACCTTTGATAGCGTCAGCAAACATGGAAAAGATCAAGGAGAAGCTCCACATTGGTAGCAGTAAGAAGAACACCGAGACCGATACTCTTGGTGGCTCACAAAGTGACCACGTTGGCACAATCGAAGGTAGCCATGGATTCTTTTCCCACCTTTGTCCTTCACTATACATCGGCCAAGCACTGGTACACCAAGCCAGCCTTGTTTCTACCTGTGTGCATGCATGGCCTGCCGAATCGTTCCTGCTCAACCATCCCTCTCTATCGCTTTTGAAACGTATCTGACCCCCTCGAGTAGACAATCGCGACTCCATCGACAGCGAGCTTGCTGCGATGCCCCCACACGAGCGCGTCGCTTATCTCAAGGAGTTTGAGGATTCGGACAAGCACGATATACCTAAAAAGGGTGGTCTACTAGAGAGGCTGATTGCACGTGGTAACAAGCGAACTGAGGAGCAGATTGAGCGGGAGAGCAGAGAGGATGAGGCCAGGCGCCAGGCGCACAGGGATGCCACGCATGCCCAGATTGGCCCTGGTACAGGCGCGAGTGCCCACAGTGTTGCTGGGCCAGGAGGGTTGTAGTGCACTCATGCTCGATGCTGCAGGGAGGAAGAATGGAGGAAAGAGTGGAGTGCTTGGTTTGTACTGAACCGCACTGTGCCAAGTCAGTATAGTATGTACACAACTCGACATGACGATCAATGATGTAATTTGCTTTACGCATGAGGAAGACTGAAGCGGATCTGCGTATCCAAACACTGATTAGATTATTTGACTGTAGAGCTCTAACACTGCGTAGTCTCCCACAGGGCCAACTTCCCTTGAGTCTGACATTTTGGGATAAAGGGATAGACTGTACACGACAAATACACAATTTGCACTGTACTTTGACATGACCGTTATAGCAATCCATTGCAACGAAGTTTCTGGATCTATCTCATTGGTTTTAAGCCTAGATGAAGTTCTATATCCCACGTACAAAATCAAATTGGTATCTCAAAAGTCGCACCCAGAACGCGGAACACCTTGGACCCAGCCCTCCCTCTATGATCGTTCCACTTGTGCTAGTGTCAGATTCACGACTGACCCAGTCACCACCGAGGTGTCTTGACATCGCCCCCGAAACCCGTTGTCATTGGACTCACACCACTCCGTGGTTCCTCGTCACTTCTACTGACTCCCGCACTGCTTGGTGCCTGACTCAGGCTCGCTCTATCATTGCCCTCCATTTCATGGTGCCTCTGGTGCGGAGGCCTCCATGGTGGCGGTGGTGGCAGGTTCTCTATCGTGACTTCCTGCCACCGAGGCGTAATTGGCAGCCGAGAGTCGGCAGGCAACTCCACCGGCTCATGATTCATATTTACAGTCGTCTTTCTATCCTGGGGATAGCTGTGACTGTCCCCAATCATGGAGTTGGGAGACGCGAGTTCAGTCAAGGGTGTTCCGCTGAGTTCTTGTGGTGGCTCGGGCGCTTTGAGAGGGACGACGGCACTAACGGCGCCGCCGGTGTTGATGTTCATATGGGTGGCAGTGGCGGGCGTTGTGGCGGTCGATGGCGCAACGGTGGATTGCGATATCTGGGCGCCGGCGAGTTCGTAGTGTTTTGCTTGGGGCTGAACAGTACGGCGTCGGCGGTAGAGGAAGAGGCCGAGAATGGCGAAGAGGATGAGCAAGGCGGCGCCAATGGCTATGCCGACGATTGCGCCGATGCTTAGGCTAGAGGAGGAGGAAGGGTTGTCAGAGGAGGGCGGAGAGATGGTGATGATGTTTGCGGCGGGAAGGGGGTCAGGCCATGTGGCTTGGGCGATGGTAAAGTTTGCACGTTCGTAGTCGACGATCAAGTAGGATTCTTGAAGCAAGGTACGGCCGAGGACGTATTGGGTCGAATTTGCGGCGCGCCGTATGGGGAAGTAGTTTGTGGCGTTTTGGTAGTAAGGGTATGAGGCTTGGAGATCAAAGGCGGCATAGGGTAGTTCGATATTTGTGTAGTTTGTCGAGGAGCCTGTGAGCGAATTGATGAGTTTCACTGTTACGACGGGATTGTTGTTTCGAAGCTGCTGGTGGACGGTGTCATTGACAAGGTAAAGCCCGGTTTGAGGGTCGTATGTGAGTCCAAAGGCTGCTTCGAATTGCGCGCAGACATCTTCGGGGAGCCAGAGATGAGGAACGGTTGAGTCTATGACGGAGAAATGGGCGCCGGATGTGAGGGAAAAGGTGCCTTGGAGGGTGTTTGTAGCCATGATGGAATCCACGCCCACAGTGAGAAGTTTGGAGGGATCCGTTGAAAATGTGAAGGAGAAGTTGTTGGTGTTTGGTTTGAAGCGAGTGGAATCGTATCCTCCTAATATTAAGCTTCCAAAGACTGATTTGAGGCGATAAGATGCGCCCGCCGTGTATGCATAGGACAGGCTAGGTATTTTTGAAGTATTACGCAGTTGATTCATCAGGGAATCGACGGATCGGCCAAGACTGGAAAAGCTGGAGTCTGCGGTGCCCAAAGGGAGAATGCCCATGTAGTAGTCTGGATCTGCGATTCCAGCCACGACTTGGCTGTCGAGAGCCAGGGCGGAGCCAGCGGCGGCAGGGCCCAATTGCACGCGATCGAAGCCGAACAGTCCCCTCGAGGTATAGTTGAGTGACTGCTCCAGGTCGATTTCGTACTGTCCAATGGCAGACCATGTTGTCGAGACATTGGCCTGAAAGCCAATGTTTTGCGCGCTGTTGAAGATTTCGGCTCCTCGCGCCTCTGGACATCCTTCGGGGTCGATACCAGGCAAGCAGCCCTCAGGCGCAACAAGATAGGTGACGCCGCCTTTGGTCGAGGGCAAGACGCGAAAGTCCTGGCCAGGGGTTCCGACGGACACGGTGAAAGTGCTCCAGGATCCATCGTTGCCGTCGAATTTTTGCGAAGGAGGAACGACAAATGGCTGCGGAGGGCCGGTTGCCCGCGCGACGGCTCCCATTACGTAGCGAACGTACAGGTTTTGGCGAGCGAAACGATTGACGAAAGAAGGGTACAGAACCAGAGTAGGTTCACACAGTACATAGATTTGATTAAATTAAAGGATCATAGTGGATAGTTGGTAGATAGTGTAGGTGTGGTGGGTAGGATACTGGAAGTGTAGGGGACGAAACAAGGTGCTCACGCCACATGCTCAGCCCTGAGTATGGGGGTATGAGGTCGAAGACTAGCTAGTACAGGACTGCTGTCGTGTGCGAACGAAACGACCGTCAAAGCGTGTCCCGGACGAGGCTTTTGCGAGGGGATTGGCTTCGTGGTCAGAGAGTGAAAGTGTGGTAGGTAGGTACAGCGAAGGGGCAACCTTGGACGACCATAAACGACGGGCGAGACTTAGCGAAGGCACTGGGCACACCCTCCCACCCCCTCCCCATGCGCATTTCTCTTGGAAAAAGGACGGATGGGGCTACTATGGTAAGCAGCAAACATGCATCGGACATGGGGGAGCGGGCGGACTGTCAATGCATCGGCGTGTGCCATGGCGCCGTCCGTCCACTGACCAGACGACTATGTCTAGAAGGCTCCACACACAAGTCGACGGAGCTTGTCGATCCTGTCAGCCTCCTCCTTTGGTATGCGTGAAAGGAAAAGGGCAAAGGCAAAGGCCAATGGAGAAAGTAAGCACTTGAACAGCAATATCTACCCAAGTAGCCTAGGGACCTGAATGCCTGGCACTACCTACCACCGTATCATGGCACTGTTGTACCTAGTAGACTCGAGAGTCTGTAGTGGCTGCCTCTGCTCCAGCAAATATCATGGCCCATGAGTACTGCTTTGGCATGTGCACGCTCTACATACTAGGTATCAGAGCATATATGCCATGTATGTGGTAGATGGCGACGCGACAGCTGCTGTAATGCACGCAATTCACGCAAAATGGCCGAGGCCAGCCAGCCTGCACAGCCATGTCAACAGTTGCCCACACATACACTACACATGATACCTGCGAGTCCAGGGTGTGCCGCACCCGGCCAGAGATGGGGGTGCTGCGCGCAACTAAGGTACTGTACCTACTACTGTGTGATAGTTCAGTCAGTACAGTGATAGCACACACCTACTACATCAGTACAATACAGAGTCACACAACATGGGCACTACTATAGTACGCACCTTGGGTAGCATGATCGCTAGGCCCTTTGCAATCTCCTCGCCATGGGCTCAAGCAGACCTTTTCGGTAGTTTTGTGCGACCCGCCATCATTTAGTATGTCGATCATGCTACCTCCATCACCCAGTAGTCCGCCCTCAGCCCTGCGACCACATCACTCCTCCACACCCCGCGCCCGCAAAAAGGGCCATCTGCTGTGAGAACGGACAGGAGGAGGAGGGAGACAAACAGTATCGCAGAAAACCAGATACGATTCGGCGCCGCACTGCTTGCTCCTAGGGCTCTCCACCAGGTAGGCCAGATCCTGTCCTGCGAACGACCATCACAAAGTATTGTACCTAGTACAGTTACCCTACGGTACCTCCATGCTCTACAATATACAGTACCATGGCTGGGCCCGGCACAAGCACAGATGCTGTCGTCAGTGGCCATCGGCCCGTGCTCAGACTGCTTCCGCGAGGAGCCAAGTCAGCCCATGCATCCAGGAGTTTCAAGGTTTCCCTTTAGCTGCTCAGCTCGGCCACACTCCTACACGTCGGCCCCGTTCTTCCACGCGTCCATTGGGTGGCCGCTTTGTTTGGACAGTTCAGCGACAGCGCGCATGGATCGCATCGCAGTCTCTTCCTCGCACCCGAGCCGAGTCGGGCACCCCCTCCAGATAGATGACAGCCTTCAATCGAATCTCAACCTTGCAATCTTGGGATTTGCGCTTCTGACTTGCTGTCTCATTGCGGTGGCGAACGTCTGGCTCCGACCTCACACTGTCACTCGTTTGTGTAGAGGGAGAGAATGAGCAGGATGCGTAACCTCGCGACCTTGACCTCGGTTCTGCTGGCCTTTGCATTCGTTGCTGAGCCGGTCCACGGCCAGTGTAGGTCTCGTTGCCAACGCCTGCCAATTTCTAGTCACTAACAAAACCACAGATCCAGCCAAAAATGTCACTTCCATAGCCTCTTCAGATGAGCCTATCCTACTCTCAAGTGAGGCTGTTGTACCACCTGCAGAGGAGCCTGTTCTGCTTGAAAGCGTGGCAGGTCCGCCGCCAGAGAAGCCTCCTGTTCTGCTTGAAAGCGAGGCGGGAGTACCTTCAGATGAGGTCACAGTGCCTTCAGATCCAGCCATTCCACCTTCAGGCCAAGGCCCAAATGGCCGCCCACCTAATGTCCCTCTGGTTCCTTCGCCAGTAGGAGGTGATTCGCCTGTGGTTCCACCGAAGCCTGCAAGGCCTCAATCACGTAAGTGGATTTCCCAGTAACATGAAGCTGTGTCACGTGGGAAATCGCGAGCTGTTCTCAGGTAGACACAACTTCAGAGACTTTGCCATATTAAATTACCAGAATCGTCGAGATAGGTGAGAGGTTATGATTTGCTAACTATAGTCCAACATTCAGACGTCCCACATCCACCACTCTATACACCTGACGCCGCTGATCTGTACCCTGTGCCATCAGCAGCACCATCTCTATCAAAAGCAACGCCACTGCCAACTCATCCGATTAGGTACTGGAACACTTCCTCTGCTGCACAGTGCCCTGGTTGTGAACAATGCACTGGTTGTGCACTCGAGATTTACGACCCGGTCACTACCTATTACGAACCTGACAACATTCTTAATCCGTGGACCAGCCTAGTCGTTACAGAAACTATCTTGACACAATATGTCACCTACTTTCATGAGGGAACCATTGATACAGTGACTACCGAGTTGACGACACTCAATAAAACCAAAACCGTTGTCCTCGGAACTATGAACGAAACCATTACTCATTCTACACCCACATTTCTCATAAGGCCAACAATTGGCGTTCTACTTGAAGTGGAGGCGGGGCCCACCTATGTCATTCACAATAAATTTGTCGGCGGGTTGGACGAACCTGGAGACCAAAGCGCTGGACTCGGTACGGCCCCGGGTATCGCCTGTCAGCATCCTCTGACACGTCTTTCAAATTGGGTACCTACCAAGACTGAGGATTGGAGTTACTTCATCGAAACGTATACGGCGGCACCTACATCGACTTACAGCGGTGATCCATTTTTACTACCAACAAAGTTGATCAACTACTTCAAAAAGGATCCGGAATTCATGGAGCAATTTCGTGGTTCCGATATTGCGACATGCACAGTTCGACCCACGCCCAAACCTAGTCAGGTACCTCCCGTGGCACCACCAGCCACAAGGACAGATTCGATTGAGCTTCCTCTACCCGCGAACCCAAATGTACCGTCATTGGCTACAAGCACATTCCTTTCGACAACATTCGCTTCAACATCTCAGCACGTGACAAGGCAGGGATGTTTAAGATGTGATTACGTAAAACCGTTGGTGACATCCAAGCCAGACGATGGTCACCATCGCAACAACAACAATAACAACAACTCGCCTCCAGGGCCTACCCCTCAACCAAATGTGAACCCGGATCGACCAAACAATCATTCCAACAACAACCTTAATAGCCCGAACAACAACTCAAATAAGCCCAACAACTCAAACAATTCGAACAACTCGAATAAGCCCAACAACTCGAACAACTCGAACAACTCGAACAACTCGAACAACTCGAACAACTCGAACAACTCGAACAAGCCCAATAACCCCAACAACCCCAACAACCCCAACAACCCCAACAACCCCAACAACCCCAACAACTCGGACAACTCGGACAACTCGGACAACTCGGACAACAATCCAAACAACAATCCAAGCAACATTCCAAACAACAATTCAAACAATCGGCCAAGGCCAAATGATGAATCGCAACAAACACAAGAACCAAGGATCACAATTGGCAACCAAATCTTCCCGATCCAAACCCCGAAACCAATACAGAATACCGACCCGGCACAGAGCAACATGCCATGGGTTCCCATGATCGCTATCGGACCAGAGACATTCAAGCCAGGGGAGACTAAGACAATCAATGGTGTACCTGTCGTTGCTCCCTCGCCTAATGGTGGATCAGAGATCATCGTAGACGGCCACACAATCCCCTACAACACCCAGCCGAAACCCACAGGCCCGTCCGTTCTCACCGTTGGAGATGAAAGAATCACGGCAAACCCCCAAGGGCAGTTCATCGTCGGTACCGCAACATTGAAGCCTGGCGGTCCCGCCATCGTCGTCGACGGGAGCACAATCAGCCTCGTGCCCAGCGGTCCCATCGCGATCATGAATGACGTCACACAAACCCTGCAAAATGCCCCTGCAGCAACTCCAGCACCAGCTCTCATTCTCGCAAATGGAGACATGGTCCTTGTGACCACGGTCAACGGTCAAGTAGCCTACATCCTATCCCCAGACCAGACTTTGCTTCCCGGCAACAAGATTACAGTCTCAGGCACAACCTACTCGCTCCCCATCTCAGGATCCGAAAACATCATCGTGGTCAATGGGCAAGTCACAACACTCGCAGCCTTAGATGCCTATGTGACTGCTGCACCCGTGCTCACTATCAATGACAACACGTACCTGGCCCAGGTAAGAGATGGAACCACCGAATACGTTCTCGCGCCTGGAAAGACGCTTCAGCCAGGGCAAGCGGTTACAATGAACGGAACAACGTACAGTCTTGATAGTGTGGGCACGGCGCTCATGGTGGATGGACAATCGAGTACCATTGCTTTGACGAGGGTACCGGCGAGCACGAATGCGCAGACGACCTCTACAAATGGAGCGAGCTCCACCACTGCTGGTAGGGACATGGGCGATTGGATAGCAAGTGGGATTGGACAAGGGAGGAGTAGCAGTAGTTGGGCAGCGGGTGTGCCCGCCAGGGGCCGGGGAGTAGAGGGATGGTTGGAGGGGCTTCTTATGGGGCTTGCAGGGTGGATCATGTGCTTGCTGTGATCAGTAGCAGGGAGTTGGATCAATCAAGAGGAGCAAGAGCGAAGGGGAAAAGAATAATATGAAGAAGATGTCGAATTCGGCAACATACCAAGAAGAGAAGACACATGAAGACTTCTATTTGGTAGTCACTACATGAGCATGGCGTTTTTCAGGCGAATTCGAAAAAGTGGATGTACCTATACATCACCACTGTCGAACCGGGAAGGGGGAAATAGGGCATACATGAGCATGAGGTACACGCTTTTTTTTTCGCGTCAGAAATAATGTGTGATTCACAGACGAGTGAAATACTCGAGTTTGGAGGATGACCGAAAAGGGGATTTAAATTCTCAGTCCATGTAAGATAGAAACTAATTATGTGTGCTTTTGTAATTAGTTAAGTGGAGATCACTGTGCCTCGTGTCCCTTTACAAGATTAGGCCCAAGAAATGTATACCTGATTTGTTTTTTTGATCGTGCTTCATGAAATCTCTACTTGAACGATTTCTGACAGGTAGAAACGAGTGGTCAAGATAAGATCAAATGATGCTAGTCAGTCAGCAGTATCACCCTGACGTTCATTCTCATGCATGTCATTTGTACCTCTTTCGATCAAAACATTATGTACACTTGAAACCTATAGGCCCCTGTAACCACTCTATATCCTTGTTCTTTCTTTCGGCCCAACCCCCCTGGCTTATACAGGCAGCCCCTCCTCATCCATTTCCTCCGCCACTCCACTAACAGCCCCATATACTCTTAGCGGGACCTGAATCTCAAAGCTCTCCGCTGGTAACCTTTGCGCGGCCGCTAATATCACGCCCCTATCATCCTGACTAATCTCCTCGAGTAAATCGTCCCAATTTCCCTCTTCCCCGCTCTCATGTACCAGCCGTGGGGTAATAAACTCGAAGCGTAGTTTCCACTCCAGACTAACCCCGCTGGTGATGAATTCGGGTGTCGCGTTTGGGGGTATGGTAGGCGAGAATGCAAGTTTTCGCGCAAACAGCGCGTTTTCTGAGAACGAGGCGTGGACTTTCTTGGTGACGCGGTAAATGGATGCATTTGATCTTAGCGCAATGGCTGGGTCAACCTTTTCAGAGCTTTCCAGGGAGACATGTATAGAATAACAAGGGATATGCGAGTTTGTGAAATCAATGACTGCGCTCATTGTTTCGCCAAGGCGATACGATGGTCGCGCAAGCATAATAACAGCGACGCGTCTTCCACTGCGTGCGATTTCAAAGCGGTTTGCCGATTGATTCGCCGCACCAGTGAGGTTGCTACGTAAGATGGCAGTGTCAATCGCCTCTTTCATTGTTGGAGGCTCTTCGGCGATGGAGGAGCGGCCGGGTGTGGTGCCGGTAGGAGAAAGGAGTCCCATGTTGGCGTTTTGGCGTGGACGGTCAAGGAGGTTATCTACGTATTGGAGGAAATCGCTGAAGGTGTTTTCTTCTGGCTTGGCTGATATAGAGGCCTTTTTGACCAAGGAGGGGGACTTGGTGTGAGTAGCGGGATCGATGGCTTTGGTTCGCGCTTGATCGCGCAAGATGATGTAGGGAGACATGAGATCATGTCCAAGAATCTCCCCACGGCCTAAGAAGCTATTAGGGATTGCAAACCATGAACACACGAGAGGGGAAATTGTACATACTATTTACACTCCCAAAGACTCGGAATGGAATCTCGACTTGTCTCACTTGCTGATCCTTCGTAGAACCAGCACGCTGTGTTCCAATAGTAAGACTGTATGCCACCTTGATAGACCGTCCCTTATGTGTAGGCGGCAGACCTCGAGGTATGGTAAAGCTGTAGGTGAAGCTCCGACTCTCGCCGGGTGCGAGCTTCAGGTCCACAAACAGTATCGACTGCGGCGTACTGATGAGCGGGACGGTCTTGGAGCTCGCCTTGCCCCGCATCTCTCGTATGCTAGACGGCTCCGATGCACCTAGCAAACCACCCAGCGACTCTCCGATATTGCCCCATCCCAGCGCACCAAAGAGACCACTCTCGCGCTTGGTCTTGTCCACTCCCACAACACCACCTCCCCCCTGTCCACCGACCACGCCCTTTCTCTTGACCTCTTCAAAAGGGGCTTGGTTGATCAGTGAACCATCAAGGGTGAAGGAGCCCGTTATCTGAGCATAACCCATCATCAAGGACTCTGGACGAGCCTGCTGGGGTGTTGGCGCCAAGTGGGATGGAGAGCGATGATGCGACGGCCGCTGGAGGAGCCGGGCTGACGGATGGGCAGTGTATTCGGACATGAGCGTGTCATTTGAGTTGTTGCTCATCGAATAGAACTCGCCACTACTACGCGGGGTGTCATCCATGCTCGAACCCGAAATGATCCTAGCTACCGGTGAGAGTGTCTCCAGCGTGGCACTCGTTGGGTTTCTGCGACCCTCATGCTGTAGCCGTGGAGATTGTCCGCGCCTACTGACTGCCTTTGCAGGACTTCTGCTGCGTGGTTCGACCCGAGGTTCGTCAGGTGGCGGGGCGGACAGAGGAGTAGTGGGGAATTTGAAGTTGTGCGAGAACGAGTTGGAAGGCTTCCGCGTAGTAGGGGGAATGGGCGTGACGGGCGTCGTCGTGATGTCAGGTCGCCTGCGTGGAGAGCGTGGTGGGAAGACGAAATCGGTGGGCGCAGGGTGCGATAATTGGGGAGAAGCGGCCGACAGCGGCGAGGGGTGTGTGGCCGAACGGTGGCCTGGAGAGGCGACTGGCACAGTGTCAGTCGGTCAGTGCAGGGAAGTGTGCCCCTCCACGATGCTCATCATGCTGCCCGTACCTGGATATGAGTTGGGGCGGCCAGGCACCACCTGCAGGCTTGCCGACCGCGCATGGCCCCGCGGCGGCCGTCGTATGGGTATGCCCCCCCGTTCTTGGTGGCTATCTGCGGGCGGGTTTGCGTTGTTTGCGTGCTTGGTTGCGGTTGCGTGTGCGCCTAGTGAGATAATGGATAGTGACCTTCCATGGCGCTGTCCGCTGGCGCTCTTGCTGCCTACCGCGCCCGACGTCAGGGGCGGCCGACGCTCTCCCACCGTCGACGGGTTATGCAGTGAGAGCGCTGGGCCGCCGTGGAGGCTGTGGGCCATCTTGGGGGGAGCCTGCGCCGAGACAAACGACGAGTTGCGCGACATGGTCGGCCTCGTCGACGAGTGCACCGGGGGAAGTCTGCGCTGCCGATCGTGTCGGTCGCCTCCACTTGCTGCTACTGCGGCTCCAGCTCCTCCTGCGAAGCCGTTGTGCTGCTTGCGTGATGGCCGCCATGGGTCGCCGCCTTCGATGGACGCCACGTTCCGAAAGGTGATGGTGCACTCGATGTCTTCGCCGGCAAACACGGTCGAGTCCTTCCATTGCACGAACACGCGCATGTTTGAAGCCGACATGGTCGACCCCGAGGGAGGCGAGGGGGACGAGGATTGCGAGGGGGGCAAGGGCGGCGCGGGCTGCTGCAACGTGGGATGCAGCTCATGGGCATCGGCGGTCAAGTACCATGGCGGCGATGGCGGCTGCTTCAGAGTACAGTATGAGCACTGGCACAGGACATGGTAGACACAGCGGCTGTGAGAGAGGTGTTTAGCAGGCGTCGCAATGGCGCAATGCAATGTGAGCAATGGAAGCAATGGAAGCAATGGGAGCAATGGGAGTAATACTAGAAGCAATGGAGCAATGGAGCAAATGAAGCCATGGCCCAACGAAGCATGAGGGGAGCAATGGAGCATGGTCCCTTCCCATTTCCCTTTTGGCTCTAGTGCCGCCTCACAGCTGGAGTGCTCAAGCCCTCAACTTCAACATCCAACCACCTGGAGCTAAAAGGAATGCTACCATCTACCTGTTACCCATTTACCCGCCTGTGATATTAACGAGGCTTGTCAGTCATGCATAAGCCACGTCAAAAGGTTAATGAAAAGACAATAGTTACAGACTAAATATGAATTCAGTATTCCCTTCAAGCTACACCACCTGTGATGTAGCTTACTGATTGACAGATGCATGCATCATGTAGATGTTGTCCTCGTCTACTGATCTATCCAAGACGTTTGTGAAAACAAGGTCTTGCTCAATCAGGGGCATGCAAGCTCAGTCCCGAGGGACCGCTTACAACAATATTGATATACCAGCCGTGGAAACAGATGTTAGTATCAACAACATGCACTCTGTCCAAAACCAGTTCAATCTATCATTTGCCCAATTTGCGGCAACGATTTCATTTCTTCAAGTCAGCGGAAATTGTAATATCATAGCCCCCATAAGCCGATTCAAAGCGGCCGCTGTACCCACAAGCCCTCCAAGCCTTACCATCATGGGGTATATGCAGTCCATGGCAAGCCTTTACATGAGAAGCCTATTGTATCTTTTCGCCGCTGGTGTTATGTGCTCTGACATGAACTCATACGACAACATTAGCTTCAATCCTACAAATTATGTGTTGTTTCTTCGCAATTCGTCAGATCACCCTGGTCACGTTTCTTCGATGTGATAGTCACGGGGAAGTTGATGCCCCACGTCAGTGAGTATAGAGCGGGGTTGTAGACCTCTTGATGGAACAACGCACAAGATAAGATTATATATGATTCTATATTCGCTTGTATGGGGTCCCGAATTGCCTTCCTACTATATGCATATCTGCTTCCTTCTATCTGCATCCATCTCTCCGTGAACAGATACAGATATGCTTTGGCCTCGTTTGAGCGGTGCAATGATTCGATGGGTCGGTTTGAAAAGAGGGGACATCAATATCAATGCTTTTGGAGTACGATGCAGTTCAATGGCCCGAATGCCTCGAGGCAAGAAAGACACCACAACGTTCAAGAACAGCCCTTTCAAGCAGCACCCTTTGGCAGTGATGCCGACTTCAATGCTGCTCCGATCTCTCTTCATTACCACAGTTTCATCCAACAAATTCTTACTTACCCTATCACTCCATCTCCTCTCATTCTTGGCAAAACCAAACCGCGGTCTTTTATTCAACGTGGACAGGAATCTTGTGCTCAAGGGAATCCTGAAGCAAACGCTATACAAACAGTTCTGTGCGGGAGAGACAGAGCAGGAGACGAGAGCTTGCGTACGGAAACTGAAAGACCTGGGCTTCAAAGCCGTTATTCTTACATTTGCGAAAGAGACAGTATTCGATTATAGGAGCAAGTCGCCAGATTTGCACTCTCCAGAGAAAGCAGTGGAGACGGCGACAACCCATGACGTCGATATCGAGACATGGCGGATTGGAACATTGAAGACCGTCGATATGATCTCCAAGGGTGACATACTGGCGATAAAGTAAATAGCCTTCATTAATGTAACGGAACAAGGCATCTCTAACAGATCATTGAATAGGACGACTGGAGGTGGTCTCATGGTTACAGAAACTCTAAGCAGAGGAGAACTTCCTCCACAGCAGATGCTCGACGCACTAGATGAGGTTGCTATCAAGTGTAAGCAACGCGGCATCCAGATCATCATCGATGCTGAATCTCAGCATTGGCAGAACGGCATTAATCGCACCGCGCTCGAGCTCATGCGCAAGTTCAACACGGATGGAACGGCTGTCATCTACAACACCTACCAAGCCTACCTAAAGAGCACGCCATTAGTACTGGCCCACCATATGGCAGAAGCGGAGAAAGACGGGTTTACACTCGGTGTGAAGCTTGTACGTGGCGCCTATCTCTTGTCAGACGACCGATCCTTGATCCATGACTTCAAGGAAGACATAGACAACGCATACAATGGCACATCACATGGAATACTTCAACGTGAGCTGGGTGAATTCGGCGCATTTCGTCCCTTTCCGTCTATAAGCCTCTTCCTCGCATCACACAACCGCGACTCCGTGCTCTCAGCCAACAAATTACACCGTCAACGCACAAAAGCTGGTCTTCCTACCGTCCCTGTCGCATTTGGTCAACTCTATGGCATGTCTGACGAGGTCAGTTATACATTGCTGGCAGATAAGGGCGATGGTGAACTGCCACCTGAGGTGTTGAAGTGCTCCACTTGGGGTAGCATAGGAGAATGCGTGGGCTACCTGCTCCGACGAGCAGTGGAGAACCAACAAGCTGTGTTAAGAACAAAAGACGAGCTGGCTGCTCTACAAGCAGAACTGTGCAGGCGGCTCTTGAACTAATAACGTACCTCACGGGTACCCGAGGCTGCGCGCGTTATGCACGTGTTCGCGTAGCGCACGCCTAACCAACATCCTAATCACCACAAATATAAGGATATTAAGCCACACACAGTAGGTATTATTATAAGATTTTTTAGAGTAGTAATATATAGTAGTAGAACTATTATATACTATCTATATTAGGCTAGTAGAATAATATTCCGCCTATAGCAAGTGGTAGGTAGTGGAGGTGCTAGTGCGGGCACCTCTACCACCCTATCCCTAATAGCACCACCCACGCGTTATTTTTTTAGCTACTTTTAACGATATAATAAACGTAAGGGCTTATGCTTACCTAATTAGGGTTTTAGGATAGGTTTTTTTAGTATTATTTTAAGAGTTTTTAGCCTACTATATAGTAGCTTTTTAAGCCCTATCTCTATAATAACGTAGGTAGGTAGGTAGTGTTATAGACTAGCCTTAAGGGAGAATACAATAAGCGTTAATAATAGTATTTAGTATCTTAAAGGAGAGGTAAGCCCTCTACGCCTTTTTATAGGTGTCTAGTGTATTTACTTAGTAGTAGTGTTAGACTTAGTCTATCTTATATTAGACCTAGGCTTAGGCATAAGCCTAAGCCCTTTATATACCCCTAACCTTCCCCTATAAACTATCGTGAAATTGTCTTTCTAGGGGTCTAGGGTTATATCTTTATCCTCTATAATCTATATTTAGCTTTATTACTATATTTTTTAATTTTATTATTATATCTTTATATTCCTTCCTAATTTATAACAGGCCTATATATTAAGTAGTATACGCGTGTAGCATTTATATACTTATTTTAGTACCCTACTATAAAAGTTCTAATATAGCTATCCTACCCTACTATAAATTTCCTAAACTTACTTTGTTATATAATAGATTTTCCCCCCTAATTAGCCCTTCTCTCTACTCTTTCTCTATTAAATCCTGCCTATCTAGCCCTTATTATATCCCTATCTACTACTACTAGTACTAGTAGTAGGAATCTACTATAAGGCAGTTAGACCCTACGCTAGGCCTACTAAGATAAGGTGCGTACTTCTAATATTCTCCCTATATTTCCTGCACTAACTTTTTGTTTAGCATATATCTCCCTAAACCTAGTTACTTAGTAGCTTTATTATTTCTAGTAACTTAGATAATAAAGAATATAATAGTAGCTTTATAAAGCTACTTCCCTATAATTAGTATATTAACTAGCTTTATCTCTTTAGTAAGTATAACTATTAGGAAGGTAGTAGTAAGTTCCCCTTAATTTTATTTTCTTTATAGCAAGTTCTAACTATATCTAGGGCGCTTATATAAGTCCTACTATTATAGCTATAAGACCTCATACTTAATTAGAAGCTATCCTTACTAATAATCCTAATATTTGCTAAGCCCTTTATAACTAGCTTTAGTTTTATTATAGTTACTAGGAGGATTACCTCTATATTATAAAGAAGGGGACCCTTAGCACCTTTATAGGGAAACCTACTAAAGGCACCTATTACTAGTTTATACTATAGTTCTACTAGCTCTACTATTATTTTAAGGATCTTATATTAAGGGCTTAAACTAATAATACTATTACTCTACTTGCCCCTACTACTTACTTATGCGACTATAATTAGTATTAGCTTAGTACTATTATTCTATCTACTACTAGTGCTTTAGTATTTTTACTTTAGTCTACTATTACACCTTTATATAGTAGTTATAGTAATAATAATATTATATAGCTTACTACTACTACTAGTGTTACCTTCTATTGTATTAACTAGTATATAAATAAGACCTAGGCCTAAACTAACCTTTATATTAATAGGCTTAAGAGCGCTACTAAGCGTACTACCTATAGTATTAAGACTCTTATTATTAGTATTAATTTTCCTTTATTCCCTTTATATATATTCTAATATTTACTTTCTTTAGGCCTAGGGTGCTATATATTAGTAAACTATTAAAGTACTACCCTTCTTCTACTACTACTACTACTATTACTTATACTTGTTAACTAAGTCCTCCCCTACCTACGCTGCGCGTAAGCGTTACTACTATTACTAAGAGATATAGAGGCGTTAGAATAATATAAATAATAGTTTAGGGGGAGCTAAAGGGGGGTTAGTTATAGATAGTAATAGTATAGATACTACTACCTAATTATTAGCTACCTTATAAAACTTTAGTAGTAAGGCACTTACTTAGAGTGTTATAAGGATAAATAAAAGATATCTCTAATACCTTTCTACTTCTTAATTATAATAAAGGTCTAAGTTATTATTCTAGTTTTCTTCTACCCTTACTTCCTAGCTTTTATATATATTAGGCTATTATTATATATAATATCCTTATACTTTTCCTTAAACCTATCTAGAGCCTTAGTATCCTATACTACCTCTAGTAGGTGCTATATTAGATTAATATACCCCTTCTATTTTACTAGGACTTAATACTTCCCTTTTCCTCTTATATTCTTTATATAAAGGATCTCTTCTACTTCCTATTTATTTAGTATTGCGTCTTTATTTTCTAGAGTAACTATTAGGCCTAGTTATAAGTTCTAAAGCTTCTAGCTTAGTAGTAGGTTATTAGTAGCTCTCTCTAGTAGATCTATATACACAGTCTTATACAAGTTCCCTAGTAAGTCTAATACTACTATAAGTAGAGTAGGGACTTCTATTACTTTATACTTAACCTATAGCTAGTTAAACTTTTTACTTAGTTAGTTTATCTTTATATTATATATTATAAACTAAACTATATTACCTTTTAGGAACTTTTTAGCTAGGTATTAAGACTAGTTTATTACTTCCTATTATTATTACTATTAGAATATAATAGTAGCTTACACTAGCTCTATACCTCTCTATAGGTGTAATAAGAATGTTATAGCTTCTTTATAAGGATTCTTAGGCTTTACTAGTAGTAATATTATCTTTTATAGCGTGTCTATAGTATACCTATTTAAAAGTAGATTTAGGCTAATACTAGTTATACTAGAGTCCCTATTATTAAGTGTAAGTTAGCAGGCTAGTAGGTAATTAGGCTAGTTAGTCTGCTTAAAGCATACTATTATACGCAGCACTACCTACACTTCTTAGTTTACCTGCTCTATCCTGCTATCTATCTAGGGGTGGTATATAGTAGATAGTAACTAGTTTATCTTTATTATCTAGTATAATATTATCTAGAAGGATCCTAACTAGTCTAAACCTTAGTTAGTAATAATAGAGGATAGGAAGCCCTAGAACTACTACTAGTTATCCTAGAAGATCCTTGCACAATAATTAGCTACTATAGAGACTATTACTTTAAGCTAAATATATTTAGACAATCTATTAGTAATAACTAATAGGGACTAGGGTTTACTATTATCTTTTATAGGTAGGTTAACTATAAAATCTATAGATATTTAGGACTAGTATTATAACGCGACTAGTATAGGTTATAATAGACCCTATTAGTACTTTTAGGAGATATAAGTACTATAATAATAGTAGTTTTAAATATACTACGTAATATCTCCTAATATTCTATCCTAATAATAGTTATAGTGTAGTATTTAAAATATTATATTCTTTCCTAGATATCCTACTAAACCTAATTTATATACTTGCTATATAATAGTAGTTATAAGGGGTTCCTATATTAGTAACTAAATAACGCCCCTCTAAAGCAAAGTGCTGTATACGCTAATTGCACAGTCCCCTATCTATTACTTTGTGTTAGCTAAAACTAGGAAAGACCTAGCGCCTTTCTAAACCGCATTAAGACGCACTTAGTATATCTTATCTTCTAATACCGCTTTATCCTATAGTATCTGTATATATAGGTTAGCAAAGAGGCTAGCGCCCTTTAGTAACTTAGACGCCTCCTCTGCTTCTAACACTATAACCTAAATTAATTTAGGGCGTATTACTAACTATAGTATTACTTTAGAGGAGTTTAAATCTTATAGTTACCTACTTAAGGTATTAGGTTATCCTATAAGATAGCTAGGTCTATACTATAGGATATACTAATATTTTAAAAGTTCCTCTGCCTAGTAGCACTATTACTTACTTAAGCTTTAAAGGCTAGTAAAGTACTCTAGGTTTTTATAGTCTATAAATATTATAAATAGCTTATAAATACTCTATAACTCTACTAACTAACTTTTAAGACACTTAATAATAGCAAGCAATTCCTTATTATATATAGTGTAGTTTTATCTCTCTAGTATTAGTGCTATAGAGTAGTAAGCAACTAGGCACTAGATACCCCTAACTTTTTATAATAAGCAACCCCTAAGAGCGTATCCTAAATAGTCTACTTCTAATACTATTTCTTTAGCTAGGTCCTATTATATTAATACTAGTCCTAATATAAATACCTTTTTTAGTATATTAAATATACTTTATTTTTCCTCTCCCTATTAAAATAGGGTATTCTTCCTAGTTAGTTAGTTTAAAGGCACTACTACTTTAGAAAACTTTGTAATAAAATTATAGTAGAAGTTAGTAAAACCTAGAAAACTTCTTACCTCTCTTATATTCCTAGGGGATTCCTATTCCTATACTACCCTAAGCTTTTTAGGGTTAGGTCTAAGTAATTTACCTACCTTAATAATATAGCCTAGGTAGTGTACCTCCTTAACACTAAACGCACACTTCTCTAAGTCTAGGTGTAGTCCTACTTCTTTTAATAGTATAAGTACACGCTTTACTTTTTCTATATAGTTAAACTAGTCTCCTCCTAAATAAATTAGGATATTATTAAGGTAGACTATTATATATAATCTAAGTAACTCTATAAGCGTGGCATTAATATATTATTAGAAAGTAGATAGCGCACTACTAAGACTAAATAGATATACTAACTATTTATATAACCTAAACTAGGTATAGAAAGTAGTTAAGGACTTATAACCTTTTACTATTCTAACTTTATAAAAGGTAGCACAAATATCTACTTTTATAAACTAATTTACACTAGATAGTATACGTAAAGTTTCC